GATAACAGACAACATTGGGTGTGACACACACATAAAAACACATCAAATAAAACACGTGGCAAAATGGAACTGTGCCAGTGAAATGGCCTGTGAATTACTAGAAAGTTATTTTTCCTTCCAAAACTATATAGCCCAGAAACCAAACAAATAAACCAGGGATAAGAAATAAGAGATGTACAGTATATTTTTTCAATACTGCTATGAAGAAGGGGCTAAAAACTGCTGAGTCTGGAAACCTTTACTACCGATATACTAACCTTCATTAACTAAATCTGCTATTGCTGTTGCTCCTTCAAAATTAAATGCCTTTTTTATAGGAATCTACTTTGAAAGAGACTCAAATCTTCAATGCAAAGCAGGGCATGCTAAAATGCATTTCTGAAATCACAACAGTTTATTAAAGACTGATTATTAGAACGTAGTAACTGTGATGCTAGGCAAAGAGAGTCTGGACGACCATGATTAGCTTTGGTCCTTCACCACCATTTTGAAAAATGTGACTGTTGAATATTTTCAGAACAATTTCTGAATGTCATTTAAAACAATAAAAAAAGCTACTATTGACCACTCAATTATTACTTCTAGTTTTAGAGTTTACACCGTTACTTGATCTATTTTTGTAGGCTAGAACAATTCATAGCTCTTCACACGTTTTCATTTCAGGTCACTTGCCATCTTTGAAAGCAAGTGTTGTTACCTCTGCTGAAGGAGAGAACATAAATCAAAGACACTGAAAGGCTCAAACACCACAGAACAAGCACACACGTATCCATTCACTGCTTCAAAGTCAGCCCTTTAAAATGGTTACAATAAAACAAAAAACATGGTACCTGCACAACGTTCTTATGAAATACATTTTCTAGGTCTTCATGTAATATTTAAATGTACTTTCTCTGTGAAAAAATAAATTCAAGTCTCAGCATGCACCATTTTGATTTGCCAAGTGTTGTTTATCAGGTAAATTGCATTAGCACTCCATATTTTAACAGCAATTTTGCTTCCTTCTTACCACCCCCTCCCGCTCTAACCACACACTGATCTCACACTCACTGTGAACAAGGGAGAAAAAGCGTGTTTGTAATGGGGATCTTCAAAGACAGAGATGAGTTTGGAATTACTTTAGGGTAACTCCAGACAGCAGCGAAATAAATGCCAGAAATAAGTCAAGGCTTCAAAGTGGAGATGCTCTATTTCCAGCTGAGTTTCTAACCTGCAGTCTACGCTTTTTCTGAAAAACAAGCATGTAAGCTAGGCTTGCTGAAGTCAGGGCGAAGCAGGCATACGCTTGCAGGATTAGCCCACATTTACAATAGTTACCTCTGTTTTAAACAATTACTTTGTGTTGACTGATTTTTAAAAAAATCAATTTTAAGAACAAACTTCCTCTTAGAGATAGTTTACTACCATGCAATAAATGCAGCTCCTTGGTAGTAAAGAGTGCATTTCATGAGATTTTTTTTTTTTAAGTGCATGGATTTAAACATCTTGCTGGACCAAACAAGTCAAGTAAAAGTTGTCAAGACTGGAAAGGCATGGTTAGCAAAAGGAAGAAAACCCTGAAGTTCACATAACTCATCATATTTAAATTTGTTTTCACACTTGGAGAAATTAGTCAGCTTTTTGTTATGTATGAAGGACACAGAATATCCTTTCCTAAAATAAGCATTTATTCAGAGAAGGGATTTTACAGAAAAAACCCAAAACTTTCAGATAGAAAAAAAATGTCTTTCAATTAATTTAGTAACATACCTAAACCCTTCATCAGAATGGTTGTAATGGGACACACATTTATTAACATACATCCAAAGCAAAGAGAAATAACCATCAGTATCTCTCAATATATTAGCAAGATTTAAGACCTGAAACTTATTCCTCGGGTAGACTCTGGTTCTACAAAATTGCAGATATTTAATTTTACTGCCTAGCACAGTGGCTCCACTGAAGTTGCTGTCACTTTCCTGGGTGACCCTCTACCTGCTTTTAAACCAGGAGGAAGACTCCCAGGTTGCTTAAAAAAAAAAAAAAAAAAAAAAACAAAAACAAGAAGAAATGGAGTAATATTTCAGGGACAGTTTATCGTAGGTACACGAGAGGAGAGGAGATGGGAAATTGAGAAGAAAAGTTCAGTAAATGCCTTTTTGTACTTGTGTATGTAACACTGTAAAAAAGAGCCACCACTAAAAGACACATAAGTTCACACAAATCATAAAATGTAATTGATTATAACTTTGGGAAAACACTCTTAAAAACACAACACGAAAACCAAATGAACCTCTAAGACCCTGAAATGCGATGAATTTTTCATAATTATCTGCAAAGACTATTGCTGCTACCAAACCTCCCCCCACCTCCCCGAAACTGCACTTTTTAAAATGGGAAAAGCAAGAGCAAATGCATTGACAGAAACTCCCCCCACCCCAACCCGGTCTTTCTTCTGTGGCTCACTAAAGCAGAAGCAGGATTTTGATAATTTGCCCAGGCTGAAATATTAATTTCTCCCCCATTGAAGAGCCCGGCCGAGGCAGAGGCCGTGCCCTGTGCCCACAGCCTGCCTGCAGGCTGTTGCACCTCGGGTGAGCGGGGACCGGAGCTCCGGGAGAAAGTGTCGAGGCTGCTCTGCTTCATCTAAAGAGAGATGGATGTTTGGGAGCGCATTCCTGAAACCGAGCCTTCTCCCCGGTGACCTGAACTAGCGCGCCTCTTCCTACCTGCAACCAAACCTCAGTTACAATAATTCAACAGCAGGTAGGAGAGCTGTGACTGGGGGGGTGGCAGCGAGAGCCCAGAAGCTGGTGGCAAGTTCTTGCTCCTGGGGTTGAGCGTGCTGACCCACAGGCTGGAAGCCCAGAGGGGTGCAAGACTTTTCTCCGTGCCGCCGGGCCAGCGCGGGCCAAGCCTGGCTTACACACCAGGCTCTGAGATAGAGTCCCGGCTGGGAAGGTGGGTAGTGCCCCTGGCAGCCAGGAGTGAGGAGCCTGAGTCCCACTCCTGCTGCCTTGCACCACACCATCTCCTCGACACTGGTAGTGCTGCTCTTAGGAAACTCCCCCTTCCCAAAATCCCTTTATTTGACATGTTGATAAAATCTTTATTGGCATCTTCCTGTACTGCAAGACAGGAAGATAAAATAATTATTGCTTTCTATTGAAGGAATAAGTTTTTCCACAGCTTGATAACAAAGATTTCCTGTGAGCTTCCCACGCTTCCATAATTCTTATCTTAATAGTTTTCCGGAATTTTTTTTTTTTTTTCCCTTTTCTAACCTCCATTGGAAAAATTACCATGAATTCTCACAAAAAAAAAAAAAAAAAAAAAAAAAAAAAAGAAAAAAAAAAGAAAAAAAAAGAAATATACATTACATTTACATAAAAGTAAGATATAATTCTGCATTAAAAACCAGTGTATCATCCAGTTCACATTTGTTTCAGCACACACCCCAATGACAGGACAAATGATCTGTGCAGAAAAAGAAGCAATGGGGATTCAACAAAATGGGTGTTCTGGTGCAATGACAAAATTAAGTGCCTTGGTCTTGCTTAAATACAGCAGATTAGACCTTCCCAGACCTGAGTATCAACGGGAGTTTTGGGTGCACAATAAACTCATCTCCAAATCCCAGTTAAGTAGGGATCTTCTTGTGGTTTTGGTTTGTTTCGGAGAGTGGGGCAGGAGGGAATATGTCTCCTCTTCCCTCCATCCCCCATAGTTGAGAATAATTTAAGGACCAGGCACATTCATTCTTAAAAGTAAGAACATCAGTAACAGTGGCCTGAGTTGCACCAGTTTGTGACAACTGCAGCATGGACATTTTACTCCAAAATAAAATTTTAAATTAGTTTTAATTTAATTTAAAATTAGTTTTCAACTAATTTTAACCAATAATACAATTATTCACTAATGGCACTGTAAGTTTGCAAGCAGCCTAAAGTCAAATCTAAATTCATGAGCTAAAGGTCTTTTCAAGTTGACAAACAACAGCTGCAGAAAGACAGCAGCATTCCCAGAAGTACTCAGTCTTTTGAGAACTGAATCTTAACAAAAAGTCATGTGCTTTGCAATCATGTAGCTACCCAGGAATACTGGTATTCCGGTGGAGGTTATTATGTAGTGCCAAAAGAGCTGCTTGTCTAAGGATAAATTTGACCAGGTCAGGAGACAATTGGATCTTTAAATTTAAACTTGTTTAGAGAAAATATCCTCAGAAAATGTACTGAGCAGAATCAAGGAATATGTTCATCCATGAACAGATAAAGTTACTGGTGCCTTTCAGGTTGTTAGCAATGTAATTTGCAGTACCTTCTTTTGCAATTTTAAAAGTTGTTTTTGAAAGCATCATAAAAGAGAGAACTACACACATTTGCATTAATGCCCTGCATTAGACTATGTCTTTCCAGAAGTGGATTATCTAGAATTTTACTTAAACAAATTATTTACATAATAAAGCCAATATTTGTCTTATTAAGACAGACAGCCCTTTAAATTGTCAAGGTATTAAAGAGAGGTGGCACACCTAATGACTGGGAAATTCTACAGAAATATTTCAGTTTCGAAACTCTCCCCAAAGGTTTTACGCACAGCCCCAGTCAAGATGCAGCTTAATTCAATTCCCAAGAGAGAGCTCGCTTCCTACAGCTCGGCACCAACTGCGTTTCACAAAATGGGCAAACTGGTTGCAGTTGTTTAGACTAAGTATGTCTCGGGTAGGATAAACTTTTATACCTTCAAGACTCCTTTCATGAGTTTTTGATTAAAACGGGCTGTTAGGAAGATATTCATACAATCAGTCTTCAATTCTTTCTTTTAATATTTCAGCTGGTTGGTTTCTGTTCTTTCTTTAAGAAATAGGCAATTACGTCTGCTAAACATAGTCTTCTGAAGACTTGCATTTGATCTTTCTGCAGGTAATCTTTTCAGAAAAAAATCATTGCTAAATCACTAAAAGAAGTACTTTGAAAACAAAGTACATATAATAATTAAAAATATTTTGAAAAGCACATAAATTTAAAATCAAAGCTTGAATATTTAAGCAGCTTTCACACACAAATACATAAAATAACATCAATATCATAAGCGTATGCCACAGTATGACCAGTTAGGACACATAACAGTAATTAATTTGGCTCTAAATACGTGATTAGGGACAAAGTATAGATCACGCCATCTATTTGTCACTTTGACTAAAGAAAAAGTTCCACATACATCGAACAGACAGACTCTTCATCTTCTTAAAAACCAGCAGACAAGACCCTGCCACTACCGAAGAAAAGAGCAAAACTCCTATTAACACTCCAGCATCACCTTTCAGAGCCGTGTTCCCGTTAACATGTAGAGCTACTATGCTGACTTCTTCCATCAATCATGTTGATTTTTAAAAATTTAAGTTGATGCAATTATTAATCTTCCTGACGTTTCATCCAGAAAAGTAACATAATCAAAGCAAAGTCTTCCTTTATATTTACACCCTGACAATTTACTAGCATCTGCATAAAATACCTCATTTTGTGAGCACACATGTGCTCTTGTAAGAAATTTGAAGAAGTACTTGCTTAGAAGGAAGATTGATCTTGTGGGTATGGGTTTGCATGACTGGAGCTTTACAGTGCAGCTTTTTCAAAAGCTTTGGGTTTTGAAAGTGTAGCCTCTAAGTGCCGGACCCTAGAAACAGCCATTCATAAATTTGTTTGCATAACACCAGGTACTATTCCCCCCAAAGGAAGAATCCCGTGGCATTCTCTGACCTGCACACACCAGCAAATTCAAATGTGCATGGAGGGATGCTTTTAGACAGTATTTGGCAGAAGAGGGAAAAGAAGACAATAAATGAAAAAAAAAAAAAAAAAAAAAAAAAAAGAGTGAGAACCTAAGACACATCTAAGAACCAGATCATGTAGCTATTAGTGAGGCAAAATCCTTGTCCAAATGGAAGATTTGAGCCATCCATCACATCCAGCCTGGCACACATCAAGGGAACAAGCAAGGACTGGTCCTTGCTCTTTGTATGGAGCTGTGTTGATATCAGTCACTATCCCTCATCCAAACAGTACGGTAGTGACATGAAATTATTACTGAAGTCAACCAGCTCAAAGCTGAAAGCGTGGAAAACACCCTCACTCTTGAACCTTGCCACAATACTTCTGAAGAAGGATGAACTAATTTTTTCCCAAAGAAAAACTTGTGAGAAATGTACACCCAATCTAAAGCAGGGTGTAGTCCAGAGAGAAGTAAAGAGGGTCAAGTACCACCTTGTATGTGAAGTGGCACCATTCCGCTATGAGAGAAAGGGAGGAAACGATCCCGAGCAGTCTACACCTTAACCAACTCCATATTTGCTCCTTGACATTTGCACCCCCGTATCTAACTCCCCTTATGAGAAGGGAGAGGGGCTACGGAATCAGTTCTCTGTGCCCGTGCAGAACAGGAAAAGTGATGCAGAACTCAAAACTCAAAAAGTATGCTGGGTGGGAGATGTGAAGGGGATGCTACAAAGACATTTCACACCCTATTTTATTCCAAGCCTTTTCATCTGCACCAAAGCATCAATTTTTGTGTTCTGAATTTGCCTAGAAAACCACATCTGGCTACAGCTCTGAGCTCTGTACGCTAAACCACCTTCATTCACTTTCTTTTCTTGATCGTCTCAGATTTCGCAAGATGCGGGGTTTTTTTGTTGTTGTTTTTTTTTTTGTTTGTTTGTTTTGTTTTGTTTTGTGGGTTTTTTTGTTTGTTTTTTGTTTGTTTTTGTTTTGTTTTGTTTTGGTTTGGTTTTTTTTGGAGGTGGGGGGCGGGATGGATAGCGAAGCGTGGAGAAAACCATCCACCTTGCGCTTTTGACCTGATGCCAGCAGCCCGGGGTAACCCTCGACGGGAGACGGAGCCCTCTCGGCAGTCCCGCCCCCCCACGACCCACCCAGGGACACCCGAGCGAGCGATAGGGCACTGCGGGGCCGCTCACGAACCAAGCCTCTCTCCTCAAATTAAGCGACTCCAGAACGACGCGGCTGGGGTTTGGTTGGTTGTGGTTTTTTTTTGTTTTTTTTTTTTTTTCTTTTTAAGGATTTCCTCCCCGCGGATGAGCGGCTCTTTCCACGCTCACTGCCAAGGTCCATCCTTCCCTCCCTGGCCGCGCACACGGCACTGGGCGTGTAGCCGGGGCTCTATGTAACCCCCGCCGGCACGGCACGGCCCCGCCACAGCCGCTCCGGGCCGCCCGTGGGGAACCCGCCGGTTCCCGCCGCTGCCGCGCTCCTGCGGGGCCGCCCCGGGACGCTGCCCACCCGCGCCCCGCGGCGGAGCGGGGATGCCCCCTCCCCGGGCAGCCGGCCCGCCGGCCGCGCCCGCCCCGCCGCGCTGAGGCCGCGGAACACCGAGGGGCGGCGGCGGCGAGGTGAGGGGGGGGGGGGCGGGGGTGCGTGAAAACCGGGCGGGGGGGGGGGGGACACAACCGCGGCTGCGGAGCGGAAAGTGAAAGTACCTGCCGCCGGCGGAAGCCCCATGGGAAAAGCCGAGCCCGGCCGCCCCGCAGCCGCCTCTGACAGCTCCGCGCCCCCCCTGCGCGGCAGGCGGGCGGCGGGGGGCTGCTGAGCCCTGCGCGGACCTCCGCGGATTCTCTCTCGCCCGAGCCCCCCCCCCCCCCCCCCCCTCCCCTCCTCCTCCAACCCTGCGCGGCGCTCCGCGGGTTGCAGCACCATGGGCGGGACGGCGCCGCCACCATGACCGCGGAGCCGCCGGCGCAGCTCCCCGCCACCCTCCCCGCGGACCATGTTCCATGGTAAGGAAGGAGCGCGCACCGCACCGCACCGCACCGCACCGCACCGCACCGCACCGCGAAGCCGCGCGGGGCGCCCCGCTTCACCTGCTCCCGGGCCGGGCCGGGCTGGGCTCCGCCGCGCCGCTCCGCGCCGCTCCGCGCTCCCGGCCGCGCTGGCTCCGCGCTCCCGGTCCCGCCGCCTCGCCTGCAGTGGCAGCGCGGTGCCGCCCGGTGCCCTTTTAAACCCGCGGTGACGGCGGGGGAAATTCCCAGTTTTGCTTTCTATTTTTTTTTTTTTTTTTCCCCCTTAGAATGAAAGTAAAAGCGCGCGGTTCCCATCCCACCCGCTGCCGGGAAGCGGGGCCCGCGGCTGGCAGAGGCCAAGCGGGACGGTGAGGGTGCGGGGGGAAAAACCTGCGGGGAAGCATTGCTCCCCTCCGCGGGGCGCTCCCGGAAAGCCGCCGGGGCCCCGGGCCGGCCGAGCCCCGGTTCCGCGGGGGGCGGGAGAGACCCGCGGAGCCGCGGCGCGCCCGTCCGCACCTTTGCAACGGCTCAGCCGTGCAGAGGGATCAAAAAAAAAAAAAAAAAAAAAAAAAAAATCGCAAGTTTCCCGCTTCCCCTCCGGGGTTGCGGGCTGCGGAGCGGGGCCGGGCGGCCGGGGCGGAGGGGTTGGGGGAGCGGGGGGTGCCGCCCGGGGAGGTGCGGGTGCGTTTTGGGGGGGGGGGTGGTCCCGCGGGCGCGTTGTTGCTGCAGGGAGCCCGTGGGGACCGGCCCGCAGCGCCCCTCAAGTGCAAGGGCCGCTTCCAGGCATCATGCAGAGGAGGGGGTTTCTAATTAAAAAAAAAAAAAAAAAAAAATTAAACTAAGCCAACAAACCTCCCCCCCCCCCCAAAAAAAAAAAAAAAAAAAAAAAAACAAAAAACCAAGCAAACAAGAGGGGCTTTTTTACATTTGGAAATACTGGAATACTAACTCTTCCCAGCTTTTGTGGGAGAATTTTTTGGGACTTTCCAGATACGACTTACGCGTTTTGGGGGAGTTTACTGAAAGGATGGGGTATTACCAGTAATACACACTCCCTTGCTTTTGAAGGGCTGGTTGTATGGTACGCTATCCATTCCACTTCTGTGGAAGTTACCTAACTTTAAGAAAAATCCTTCCACTTCTCAGACTAAAGCTCTTGGAAATATTTATGACACTCGTCTAATGGGTTCCAGAGGATTCATTTAGGAACATTTGAACAGGTTTCATCATGATACTGCGATGGGTCAAGGGATTTCATGGGTGTGCAACATCTCTTTCAGAATTATCTGCATTGATTCTGTAATTTCCTCATATAAAAAAGGTTCACAAGCCGTGCAATTCAGATAGGGTAAAAATCAAAGAAGCAACTTTGCAGTTTTCACCTATCTTATCTCCACTTGTTGCTGGACAAACAAAGTTGTAAGTGATGGAGTCTGTTAGATCGATTTTAATTTAGAAAATTGTTAGTTGTGTCTTTTGAAGCAGCATATCCAAGTTGCTTGTATCACTTACATTAAAACAAGCACTGCAATCCTTTTTTTTTTTTTTTTTCTCTGGAGTCAAGAGGTGCAATAGTTTATTGGAAAAATGTTGTCCTGTAATTGAGTTCTTGCATTTTTTGTAAACTTCTTCTAAAATATTAAATCTCAGTCCTATAAACTGACAATTCCCTTGGCACAGATACAGTTACTGTAGAGATTTACAAAGGTAAAGCCGTGTGGAAGTCAGATGTCCACTGGGAGCTTGAAGATTAGAATAGGTCCGCCTTACCTAGTCTTTGTATTTACTACATGTAGGATCCATTTAGGATCCATTTAGCTCTTCAGGATAGATTTTTGGAGATATTGATAGACCTCAGTTGATCAGTAACTGAAAAGGTTGGAAAACTTGGTTTTCGGGCCATCAAATTTCCTATTAAAATTTGGCAGGCAGCTTGCCACAGGAAGAATTTTGGAATTCAGCTTGTACAGGTAGAAATTTGCCAGTGCTGTTTCTAGGACAGAGGTATACATCACAGCATGTTCACCAGTAACCTATCAGAAAAAAAGGCTTTGGTAGTCAGGAAGAGTGGGATGAATTCTGCTTCGAAGCAGCGGTGTGTGTGGGGGGTGGCTGGGACGGGCTCTGCGGGGCTGCGTTTCTCCCAATGGCGAAGGAACATGTGGTGTGACTGTGGTTCTTGCATCACAGAGATCAGGTAGGTCAGTAAGGATTCTGGTCAAGTTTCGTTGCTTCCTTCTTAGTTATTCAAGATTTCTGTCTGAGGCTGGGATTTACTAGTGACGCCCAAGCGCAGAGGCACCCACCTCTGAGTGCTGGACTGGCTGTACCCAGAGCTCCCACCCTCGCCGGAGAGAAGGAAAGTAGCAGCGAGGGTCAGGGCATCCCTTCTGCCTCCCCTGGCAGCAACCCCACAGCTACTCTGTGTGCAGCTGTTGTTCTTACTGAGTAGCACAGATGGGTGGAAACAGCTCACACTAGTCCGGGAACCTGCTGTGATCTTTGCTAATCCTCCAACCTAAATTTCTAGCTCAGTTTTGGGTTTGTTTTTTTGTTTTTTTTTTTTTTTTTTTGTTTTTGTTTTGGATTTTGGTTTTGTTTTGTTTTCTTTTATTTTCTTTTCCCAAATCTTCCATTTCAGCATCATCCTAGCCAGTCTAGCTGTAGGCCAGAGTCCAATTATGAGTTTCCTAATCCAGTTATCCTGTACCCAGTCTCCTTCATTCCCAGCATGAGGCCAGTCACATGCAGTCTCCAGTTACCCTATCAGTCCCTCCAGGCTCTTTGGGTATTTTGGTCTTTTCTCTCTGCCCATCCTCACAGAACTCATATTTTCCTGGATGTCATTCAAGGACAGATGACCAGGGGTCTCAGCAAAGCAAGACGGTCTACCGAAGGGAGAAACAAAGTGTGGGGCAGTGAGATTTGCTCCAAAAGATTGCAAAATACTTGCAGAGAAGGGTGTGTTGCTGGCTCATCTCACGTGGTGGCCACTAGTATGGATTTGTACATTTGGTCAGCCTGAAAATGTGTTTAAACACACTTTTGATGTAAAGCTGTGTTTGTGGGCATTTACCCATTTTTCATATGATGAATTCTACAATTAGGATGAGATTCGGCTGCAGATTAAGACACTTGAATGTTTACACCTATTTGACTAAGACATTTGTCTACATATGTACTAGGTGGTTATGGTCCAACTGTGGTCAATGGAGAGACCTTGTCAAAGCTTGTATTGAAACCTAGAGATGAATTCAGCCCAAGTAGACACAAAGTGGCTAGTCAGCTCAATAGCTGGAGGCTCTTAAACCCGCTGTTTGAATAATCCTTGACTATAAGGGAGTTTAGACACCCAAAGAGTGTCTTAATCCGGAGCTGAATCCTCCCCTCAAGGTACATGTCATTTGGTTGTTCAAAGATCCCTTTTAAACTATTTTAACAGATTGCATAATTTATTTGCTAATACAGCATACACTCTATGGCATTTAATCTGTATTTAACTGCTCTTGTTGTAATCCAGCCTTTTTTAGATCTACCTTCCGGGTTCTGCCACTGCTCCTTGTTCTGTCTCCAGTGAATTCATCTAGTTGTGCAATGGGAAATAAAACAACCGAAATCCGTGTGAAGTATGAGAATATACTAAGCCATGACATCAGTGAGCTGGTAGGTAATAACTCTTGGGCTTTCAAAAACTGTTGATTATTTTTAGATTACAGCAAATAATAATAATTTTTAAAGCTCTAATGTTAAAATATGATAAAAGACCAATTTAAAATCACACATTATCCTGGAATGGTGGCTTTATTTGAGAGGGTGCGACAACTCAGTCTCTTTAAAATCTCTGAAATCTGTAGATGCTGCCTATTTGCATGTACAAATACAGTGGTACATTTATTTGTGCCTGTGCACCATGTAGTTAGACACATGTACCATTTGGCCCTAAATGGTGTAAGATATTACTATAAGAAGTACTCTTTTCTGAAGTAATTTCATGACTACTTCTGTTTATATCTTTGTATATATTTGTTCTACTAATTGTAGACTTACTGACTGATGTTGACCATTGAATACAAATGCACAGAGGAACAAAATTCATACAACAGTAAAAGTTTCTTTGTATTTTACTTATTAATACATCTTGTTTAGCCAACAATCAACTTTTCTAGATAGCAGCAGAGAAAAACTCAACTTTCTCAGTTGTGAATGTCCTTCATTATGGCTTTATCAGCCAGATTTATTACAGCTTTGCAAAACAGTATCATAACATTTTACTTATCCATGCCCAAAACCTACCTTCCAACTCTTTATATTGAATTATTAACAATTAAATTAGTCTGTCAAGAACACTTTCATGAGAGAAAGTACTTTCCATAGTTGGATTCGCAGAGGCATTTCTACGAAAATGGGATTTTTTCTGACAGCTTGTCACTAAATGAGAACTCACCATTCTGTTGCAGTCTTAAGATCTATTTGCATGACATACAAGTGATATACAGTGCTTTTCCAAAGCTGAAAACAGGAGCCATTATATTTCTTCACACTTAGGATCTACCATCCTTCTTCAGAGCATTATGCCGGTGATTTCCAACCTTTTTCTACCAAGACATATCAGCCCTCATCTGGAAACAAAATACCTTTAGGTTCAGGGAATGACCATTTGATCTTCAAAAACATTCTGATCATGTTGTGTTTGTTCAAATTACGAAGAGAGAAGGGTAGTTCTCCATAGATAAATGACCTTATCCTGGACAAGGCACCGAAGTTGGGGGAAATATTCATTGCCATATTAGAAGACATAAGTAGCCCCTTTAGTCTGTCGTCTTGTTTCTGACAAAGACCAGTGCTTCCTAGAGAACAACAGTAAACCCTCTCGGTGAGCAGTTACAAGATAGCTGACCTGTAAGAGAAAACAGTAGGACAGGAATAGCAGCGTCTGGGACGCAGATCCCACTGCCTTCCTGTGGTGGAGGCCCATGAGGCACATCACAGCTGTGCTGGAGCTGCAGGGCCAGGGAGGCTGGGGAGGGGGGTTCCTGGGCTGGAGGTGGCAGTGCCTTGCCACTGCCTAGTAGCAGGATGGAGTTTGATGCACTTGGTGCCTCAGGGTGACATCAGGGATTTGAATGGAGCAATGCCATTCTTCCAGATACATTTTGAAAGTCTTTATCTTCTTTATTGTAATAAATATTATACAGGGGTTTTTTAGGAGATAGAATTTTTTAGGAGACTGTATGAGAACTAAAATTGTTATCCAAATAAAAAAAAAATAAATAAAACCTTAATGAATTACTGTTTGTGAAAGATAATGGGAATGTACTGAACTTTGAAGCTTCTATTTCCTAGAACAGGCATTCACAGGTAACTACCGTGCAAGTTTCTTCACTTTCCTGTCTTTATTTTTCCCAGTTTAGGAGAGATTAATTTGTCTTCTATGTAAAATCAGTGTAGCTTTACCACTATAACCTAACAGCAAATCTTATGGACAGTGCTTTTTGGGTGAGAGCAACTGCCCACTAGACACTTTCCTGCAATTGCAGAGCCAAAGTCAATGACTTTCCGTCCCTCAGCCTGATATTTGGGGGCAGTAATGGAGAAGACTAGTGAGTTATATACTAGACCTCCATAAGTTAATTTGGTTTTCACTAATGCCTTTTCTGACGTCAGGATTTCCCATACGTTGCTTTAGTCACAGCCAATAAACTGCCTTCAGAAATGGTTACTGTACGTCACACTAAAGATGGTCTGAGGAAGTCGGTGAGAAAGGGTAAATCCCTTAGCAGTTAGCAAATGAAGCCACAGATATATAGGGTTTAAGTTGATTATCTGTTTATTTATTTTAAAAACTTGGTGCTGTGCAACTGCAGCAAAAATTCATTCTGTTGTGGTACAAGCAGTGATGTGCATTACCTTCCAAATGTTTATGTTTGTGAGGTTTTTTTGTCAGTGAATATTTGACTCCCTAAACTCTTGGTTTAAAAAACACTTCCTCGATGAAGTTCTATTCATCTTGGGTGAACTTCAGTTCAGGGTGAAATAGAGGCAACGCTATACAAAAATTTGCAGAAAATCTTTAAGAATTTAGTTGTCTAATGTGTTCAGATGCATGCCTAAGTGAGCAGATCTAACACTAAATGTCATGAGCATTCTTTTTAAAACCCCTTCTGGTTGTATTAGGTTATCTGGATACAGGCCGAAGAAGAAAGTGAAGGAGTTTTGTTGAGTTGGGTTCAGTTGCCATCTTGATGAAAAGCATGAAAGTAGAATTAAAAAAAACCCCAGAGAATAAACCATTGATAAAAGATTATGGTCACGCAAAGGGAGCAAGTGGTATTGCTTAGTCCATCTTTTCTTAGTGCATATGCAAAGTGAGTGCTACAATCTTTTTAGATGCCTGGGGCATGTATTTACCAAGACAAACATTGACAGACATTGTATTTGATGTCTGTGGAAGATTTAAATATTTCTGAATGTTTTAAAATGCCAAAGAACCAAGTAGTTTGTTTAGAATACAAAGGTTTAAAATTAATAGATATGTGTCCATTTCTGGGCTCCCCAGTACGAGAGAAATATGGAGCTACTGGAGAGAGTCCAGCAAAGGGCCGTGAAGATGATGAAGGGACTGAAGCATCTCTCCCATGAGAAAAGGCTGAGAGAGCTGGGACTGTTCTGCTAGGAGAAGGCTCAGGGGGATCTTATCAATGTGTATAAATACCTGAGGGGAGAGTCCACAGGCCCAGGCTCTTCTCAGTGGTGCCCAGGGATAGGACTTGGGGCAACGGGCACACACTAAAAGCACTTTTTCACTGTGAGGGAGACCGAGCACTGGCACAGGTTGCCCAGAGAGACTGTTGGAGACACTCAAAAGCCATCTGGGCATGGTCCTGGGCAACTGGCTCCAGGTGGCCCTGCTTGAGCAGGGGGGGTGGGACCAGATGACCTCCAGAGGTCCCTTCTGACCTTGTCCATTCTGTGACTCTATGTGATTCTGTGAATAACTTTAGAAATTGTAGGTGGACTGGGGTTTTCTTTGCCTGCTTGCCAAGGAAAAGCTCAGGGTTCTACACTGACCCTGCTATGGCTGAGGAGATGCTACAGAACAATTTAGTGTTGACATCACCAGCTGTTTGTGAGAAATTTGGCTCACCTGATTAAATGTACTTCCATGTTTAAACATATATGATATTTTACAGGTAAATAAGTCTGCAGAGTATCGTGACAGGTGCTGCAAGAATAAAAAACATGAAAATAGCAAAGTGTTTTTCTGCAATGATACTCAGGTAAAATTTAACTTCTCAGAATTTATTTTAGACAATACAAACTCAGATGGGTTCTTTGTACAATCCAGTTCCTGAATAACATATTGTGATAGAGAGTAATATTACCTTTTAACAATCAAATAATGATATTTGGGGTTGTTCCTTTTTTGAATTGGGTATCACACAATTTGTCAAGTAAATTGATATTTTTAAAATTAAAATATGAAGCAATTCTATATCCAATAAATATATATATATATATATATATATATATTTGCTATAGAGATTCTTTTATATTTTTAATCCAAAATAGTACAGAAAACTTATTTTATCTTGCCAGTGGAAATAAACATAAAAATTTCCCAAGATCTGTTTTCTTTTTTCTACAGAAAAACATATTAGCTAAGCTTTTCACTTCAGATGTCAAAGCTTTAAAAGTAATAGTTTGGGCAGATGTCAAATGACAGTGTCATGGTTTATCCCCAGCCAGCAACTAAGCACCACACAGCTGTGTGCTCATTCGCTTTCCCCGCAGTGGGATGGGGAGAGAATTGGGAAAAAAAAAAAAAAAAAGTGAAACTCATGAGTTGAGATAAAGACAGTTTACTAGGACAGAAGAGAAAGGGAAAATAATAATAGGAATAATAATGAGAATATACAGAACAAGTGATGCACAATACAACTGCTCACCACCTGCTGACCGATGCCCAGCCAATCCCTGAGCCGCCGTGCCCCCTGGCCAACACCTCCCAGTTAATATACTGGGCACTGACGTCCTGTGGTATGGAACATCCCTTTGGCTCGTTTGGGTCAGCTGTCCTGGCCGTGTCCCCTCCCAGCTTCTCGTGCACCCCCAGCCGCCGCTGGCAGGGCACTGTGAGAAGCTGAGAAGTCCCTGACTTAGTGTAAGCGCTGCTCAGCAACAACTAAAACATCAGTGTGTTATCAACATCAGTGTGTTATCAACGTTATTCTGTCCTAAACCCAAAACACAGCACTGTACCAGCTACTAGGAAGAAAAGTAACTTTATTCCAGCTGAAAGCAGTACAGACAGAAAACACAATTGTTAGCTGTTGCTGCAGATTTTATCATGACTTGATAAAAGGACTGGCTCCAGAAATCATTAATTGTTTTCCTAAGTGCATCAGCTGATTTCATTACGGCTATGATTTCTGCCTAACATCCTTATGCTATTATTATTACTACTACAAATCGATCCTTTAAATATTTTGAAGAGATGGCAGGTAGGTAGGTCAGATTAGTCATGTATTCTTTTGGAAAAGACTGGCACTATGAAAGCTAAAGAAACTAATGGTAACTGATGGAGCTTTTTTTAAAAAGACAAAACAACATTATAAAGAATTAATGGCTCGCAGACTTTTGAGGATGTGTTTTTCTTGCTCTCTTTACAGGAAATAGAATCACTACAGAGTATGGCATGCAACATGCTCAGATTCTTTCATAAGCAAAAAATCAGCAAAGACTTCAGATGGAAAGCAGCATTAGTCTCATGTGGGACATTACAGGTTCTGCAGTGCAAATGTGAAAGACATAAAAAAGAAAAGGTGAGTGGTAGCGATGGTCTACAGTTTATTGGAAGTGTGTGACTTACTCCTTAGAGCTCTTCCACACAGACTATCGTATCTACCTCTCGAAGGTAAAACTATCATGCACATGTTGTACTCATGACGAATTTTGTTCTATATAGCGTATGTCTTGTAATAGACTTTAAGCCCAGTGCAAAGACTAAGACAGTGATGTGGAAATCTATAGTGAAGATACACGTTTTGGTTCAGTACTGAAACATCAGAGTTAATTCTCCAGTAAAAGACAAGGACCACACTTGTGCAAAGAACTTTTCTAGTGTATAGAATCATAGTTATTACTTCTCATTGGGATTCTACTGTAAGGTTAATGTTTAATTTGGTTTGTTTCAACAATTAGTGGGAGTTTCTCTCCATAATCCCTTGGATCTTTACTTTAATCACAATATCTCGAACTCAACAAGAACATTTAGATACGAAAATATTTGGATTTTTAGTCATTGGCAGAATCTGCTCTTTGATGTGTCACTCAAATCTATCACAATGATTTACAGCCCACCCTAGCAAAGGAAGAGTTTTCTGTCAAGTGTGGCTCACAGTTACCTACTGAACACAAAAATGTCAAAAAGCCTCCCCATAGGCACCATATAATTCTTTGTGATTGGCTTAAATAGTTGGATTGAAATTGCATTTGCTTCATTCTTTTTCTCCTTGAAATGGAGAAATTCTTATAATCTAGGACCAGATTTTCAAAGCCATGCTGGTGTCTATATTTTGCTCATCTACCTGTGGTGAACCCGACGTTTGCCTTACCGTAAGAGGTGCCCCAGCTAGGTCATGCAAGTCAAAGAGTGTCCCCCTTGAAATTCCCGCCTAACCTTGTGGTTGCCAGGTTTTATTTAAAGACCAATTAAAGTAATTTGGTAAAAATCACAAAAGTCCATTGAACAGGGACAAGAACCACAGTACTCTTGTCTCTGGATGAGATCCTGAGCACCACCAGGCCACAGCACCAACCCCTGGGAACAGGTCTGTCTTGTTCCACCAGTCTCAAGGTACCACACACGCAGCCATACCTTCCTAAGCGGGGCTCACAATTTAATTGACTTCGTTTTTTTCCAGTCCCTCAAATAATGGAGGTTAAATTTTAAACCACTGGCAGAGGACATCCATGTTCTCAGTTGCACACACCGGTTTCGGCTGTCCATGTTTGCTGCGTGCTAAGGCTGCCTCCTGCCAGGCCGGCGGGCAGGGGTGGCAGCAGGGCTGTGCTCAGAGCGAGAACGTCCGAGGGGTGCAGGCCGTGCACGTTTCGGGAGTAGCCCAGCTGTCTGGCCTACTTACCACCCAAGGCACCTCCATTATTTATTGAGAAGTAATGGAATCAGTTTGTTTCAAAAGATGTCTATAGGAAAAGAGTAAGCGCTTCGCAATTAACAATACAAACCGATCTTTTTCAGGTTTGCGCGCAGGTGAATACACATAATCAAGAAGTTACAGATACAAACCAACAGTCCAAAAAGAAATGTAACCACGAACTCTGTGAACTGAAAGAAAATATATATAGCCTTCGATCCTGCTGGAATAAATTTGAAAAAATAATTTCCAGGTGATTTCAGGTGAATCCTGCTCTCTCGAAGTGGCATTACTTGGTGTCTTTGCATGTTATATGCATTCTTCAAGTAACTCTGCTTGCTTATATGAACACTTTATGGCAGAATTCTGATGAAAAGCTACTGTACCTTGTTCCTGGAGATGGAATAAACAGAAACGGCTAAAACAAGCTGCTGAATTCCAGGAAGTGAAAATAAAAGACCAGCATTTTAAATAAAGAACTCTGCAGAAGGCTGTGTCCCACCTTCGTGCCCTGGAAACTACTTTGAATTTTCCGATCTTTCGAGTAACTTTGTAACACCATCATAAGAAAGCAATCTACTTACGTATCTACTGCAATTTCTAAAAACCATCTTAGAAGCAGCAGGTGAAGAAAACAGTATGGAAAAGTAGCTGGTTTCTTTATATAAAACGCATTAAGGACCAGAAGGAGCAATTTACCAAACAAGCAGCTGATCTTGGGTCTGTTCTGCTGATGCAATGATGTTATCAGTGTGGGTATCTAATGGGTCTGCAAACTGATTTAAGTTTGCAAAAACAGGTAAAAAGGTTAGCTTTTGCAAAACTTAGAGAGGGTACTGAGTTTTGAGAGATGTAGCATACTTCTACTGGCTGAAGTAAAGGCAAGACAGCAAGACTGGTGGTAGGTGAAAAAAGCAGATGCCTGAACATAAGTTTGTTCAGCTGCTGGGAAACAGCACGAGCCTTATGTATTTGGTTATCCTAGAGTCAGCTGCAGGAGGAGCTAGAACTCCTTACCTTCGGATTGTGATTTCTTATATGCAATTTTATGTAACGTGTTTAACATGTTAGACGAAAATGACTTAAAATGTGTGAATATGTTCAGAGAATAATATATTGGCATTTAACTAATGAAGTGTTCATATTTAATTTTGGATAAATAGAAGTATTTTTATAGTTGTTTGTAAGTCTTTTGCAGTTTCTTACTTTGATATCATAACTCCTTTGGTAAATAAAATATTTGTCTTCTATGGAATTGGCCTGTTGAATTTTTGGGTGTCACTACTTATTTTTTAGCTTTTTTTCACAGCTAGTCATTAAAAGCACAGCTAGTAATGTAACATCCAGCTGCTTGGGACATCTCAGTATAAAATATCAATTTCTTAGTTGCTTGTAAACCTGGCCACTTTAGGTAAACCTTTCCATACCAGATATCTGCCTTGGACTAAATACTTAAGGAAATCTTTAGTTAAGTCAGCCTGTTGTTTCCTGGATCAGAGCAAAGTAACAGGTATTGGTTTATCTGTGCTAAAAGAAATCTTCCATAGAACTACTCTGAAAAATTTTTGGTATTCAGTACAAAGACCTGAAAAAAACAGTGGGATGTGCTTCAAAGAACTGTATAGATCTCCTTTGACTGGAATAAAATCCCTGTACTGAATCCATGAAACCCAGTGTGCCCTACTGGTAACGGTGAGGGAACTGTTATGCTTTCCTGGAACACGTCCTCTCTGATCCCCCATCCATTTATGGTGAAGAGACTTCTTGAGGTAGGAGTAGTATCTTTGTAAAACTGTGATTGAGACTTTCACATATTCTCTTTAGCTCTTGATGTTACGAGATTGCAGCTAACTCCAACCACTGAAAAAAATCCAACAAACCCAACCCATAACTCTTATGTCATAGGAAAAGGAAACAGGTTTCCCAATATCATACTGCAGATAAGGGAATGTAACCACTCATGTAAAGACTTCTCTGGAAATCCCTTTGACTGAAAGAAGTCCCAGGAGTCTGAGAATTAAATTTGTCTCTGAGACTGAGGAATAGTTGAAAGCCAAGATTTATTTCCTGTTAACCACTTGGCAAGGAAATGTCAGTGGGAATTTAAAGAAAAACACAGAGATGCAGTATTAGCTACTACAAATCTGAAAGTTCAGTCAGATTAAATGACTTTAGCAGCAGTCTACAACTTAAATCTTGAGGCAAATCAAGCAGTTTCAGGCATATCCTGGGGAACAGACCAAGATTAGATCCAGAGCAGAAATTTTAACTGATTATGAAATGGTGGGGTTTTTTCTGATTGCTTCTCTTGCTAGATACCCTGCCTGCTGGATTCTTGTTGCCAAATTTCCTGAGTCACCACTTACATGCAAAGACTTAACTGTTAAACACAGTCACTTGTGCTTTGATTTGTTCTGTTTGAGAACCTTCTCTGGTCTCTCCCAAAATTACAAATGTGACAACAATAAACTTCTGTGCAGGAACAGGTGAAGGATTGAAAACCTTGCAGGGTATCACCTCCACGCCTACCTCCCTGCCACTTCCATTTATCTATTTATTTATTTACTTGGCCACAGCAAAGGAGTAGGTCAAAACCATGATTTAGAAAGACATGGATTCTATGGAAAGGTGTCAAGGGAAAACAACTTAAATATTTAAATTAGTAAAAATAATTTTAGCACTGTTATTGCACTGGATTATGAGAAAGCAGGAAGGGGTCACTAACACCTGGGAGCAAGATAATGTTGCACATTTCTAACAGCAAGAATGAGTTAGGTGCTCTGTGGTTTATAATGACAAGGAAGAATTTCTCGTGTTTAGGACGCCAGATCAAGGCCACTAGAAGAGAATGTTCAAATCTCACTTCACACCATCAAACAGGTGTTTACAGCTGTAGTTCTTTAGCTGAAGATGCAGCAGTAAACCTCTCCTGGCCGGTTACGTTTCCTTTCAGTTCCATCTCTTCAGCTTTGTGCTGAGGCAAAAGAGATGTTGGCTTTATGACAGGTTTCATCCAGAGGCTACTTATTTTTTTTTGGTTTTCTCCTACTATCTGATTGGAATGGTTCATGGTGAACTAGAATAAAGAGGAAACTAGCATGAGGAATATGATGGAGTATCAGCAGTGACAAGTGATTTTGCAGGCTCTTGGCACATAAATGAATTTCATTGAGAATGAAGGGGAAACCTATCTGCCTTCCTCCAGAGAGGGTGTGGTGAAGTAAACAAAAGAGCCCAGTAGGACGAATCTTCCCCTAAAAAGCAGAAAGAAAAGAGGAATTGGTCTCTACTTATCTGTATTTAGCTAAAAAAATCAGGAACCCAAACCCTTATTACGATTTCTGCTCACATAAGTGAACTTCACAAGAAAAACACAACTTCTGCTTTTTTTCTGCTTAATCATTTCATCAACAAAACAATGTTCTAACTTCATGAACAAACCCAGATCAAGCTTAGATTATATAATTTATGGCCTTATTAAAAAAAAAATATTTAATACAGGTATCATTGTGAATCACAGTGATAGGCTCTGTAGAAACTAAACTCTCCATAGAGTTGTGAAAAAGAAGAGATACAGAGTTATCTTTATATAAGCAGATCACAGTGATTTAAATATTAAATATCAGTAGAGAGTATTTTTCAAGGTGACTCATCTGGCAAGTCAATTAAAAGAAAACTATCCTTTGAAAAGAATAGCTAGGAGACTCCCAACCACGAGGAGACAACAGTGGATGGTCCTCGCATCACATCTGGTGCACTTGAGACCAAAGACATCACAATATTCATAAGGTTGAAATTATGTTACTTATCCATATGCTATTTTATTTAAGGCAATTTCACATTTGGCTACAAAAATGTATGCATCACAAAAAGTTTTACTGGCATGTTCACTTTATTGTTATGTTAACAGGTGGCAAATTAGAACTAGGTGGTGATTTACGTTTATTAATTAAAACAGAACTGACACTTTAAAATAAACATAATATACCAAATAAGATGCAAACAGTCCCAGGAATTCTGCAAAAAAACACTGGATGGTCACAAACACACATATTCAATGTACTGAGGGGCAAGGCAAACATAATAAATGCAATGCTGACAAAATTAATCACTTCAAACACATGAATGAACACTTCATTTAAAAACATGGGACATCAACAAATAAACTTATGAAGATACATATTAAGTATCATATGAAGGATGAACACCAAGAGTTAGAGCAATCATGTAAAGTAGGTACTGTAACAGTTGTGGAATACTCAGCACTTTACAGATCAGACCCAAATCCATTCGTGCTTATGCCAGAAATCCAGACACAAACTATGATAAACCATGCACTACTACTAAGAACTTAAGTTCAATATTCAGCTATATTAAACTGAATATTTGATTTGCTAACTCAAAAGCTAATGTTCACATTGGAGAAATACTATATCCCTATTACTTTTGTAAAGTAGAAACACTAATTAAGAGAAAATCAGAGTAAGCTGTTTTCTGGCAACATGAAAGGGAATGGGGCTAAGTAGGATCCTCCAGAAATGTGTATTCTGGAATGACATAAAAAAAAAAAAAACCACCCACCCCACCAAACGCAAGAGTAATTTCTTATATTGTGAACACTGGAAAGAAAATACCAATGAAGTAACTGCTGAATACATCTACAGAATCTTTTACCTAATATTTCTTTCAACACCACAAGTAGGTAACCCAAACTTTACTCAGCAAGTTGGAAAAAAAAAACAAAACAAAACCATCAATAAAATCATCACAATTTGGAATGAGCTGTACTGCACTTGAAAGGCAATAAAACTACTTTCACCAGAATCACCAAAACCAATTTCACCAAAGACGAAAATTCTACCCTGTCATACAACCTATATAATTATTCATAGCTTAGTCAAACTGAAAAGAATTAAAGCTGCAAAAAGTGCTCTTACAAACCACAGTTTTGTCAGCCAGGATTAAAAAAACCCCAACTTGTAACAAGTTTGTTCTTTGCACATATACAAAGTCTATGTGATGGAAACTAGCACTTCTTGAGAATTTAGACATAGACAATACCATTTCATTTTATACTCAGACTAATGACGTTGCCTACATCAGTGTGCACTGCTTCATACTTTGTTTATTAGCATTTAAAACTACTACGGTGGTATTTCCTTCCACTGATCCCAGAAGCACGCATCACGAAACTGTTCTCTTCGCACACCGCATTTCAGGCACTGACTCTCAGCTGCAGTGGCGAGTTAGAACCTCGCCTCTCTCAGATGACCGAGGACTTCGCTCGAAGACTGGGTCAGATCTTAGAACACGTTTTGGAGGTTCTAGCCTGGAAACCTCGCTGCCTGCGGGACGCGTGGCAGCGCTCCGGCGGCCCGGCCCGGAGCACCATGGAGAGCTCCCCCGGGCCCCAACCCCCGCCGGGGCCCTCCGCCAATCCCCCCGGCGGGGCCGGGGGCTCTTCGCTGGATTTGGAAAGTTCTGCCTCAATGTTTGTTCCACAGGTACAAGCTGGAAGGCTGGCAAAGCACCTCCTCCTGCCCTCTCCCCTGGAGTGGATGTAAGACTGAGGGGAATTACCCCTATAACCATGGAAGTTGCTGTATATTTAGAGATTCCAGTTCTGAAACTACCTAGGGAGTGAGTACCATGCATAAATATAAACCCGTGCAAAATACATCATATAAAGATTAAGCCTTATGCTATGTTGTTTTTACTACCGAAGCTGGTATTTTTCATTACTCCATTGCATTCACATCAGTATAGTCCCAATGATACCACACTCCTTTCTGGCAGAGATGTTCCTTGTATAACAGATATTCACAAAAGCAGAATGGGAATGCAAACACCTCCAGGCCAGAGATTAAAACCAGCCTTCCAAGTGTTTGTTTATGCGGAATTTTACTTTTTTTTTTTTTTTTCCCCCTCTTAATTTTTTCAATTGACTAGAAGAACTATAGTAGGCACATTAGGAAGACAGAGTGGCAGACAGAAAAAGAAAACCCATCAGAGGGTCAGACATTGCTTTCATGATTTCTATACTAATCACATCAATAAATTTCACTTTAAGTGGACAGTAACTACATTAGTCTACAGTCTGTGGCTTCACAGTCTTCCAGTAGCCTTCAGTCTTGTTTTGTATCAACTCTACTTTGGTGGAACAACTTTTTACACTTGTGTAACTTGGGATTGCTCACAAAATACATGTGTCCTCACCACCCCACCCCCCACATATATTATATATTCATACACATAGAGAACTGGAAAGACAGATGCTAAATGGAGTAATCATCCTAATTTTACACATGAACTCTAAGGAATTTAGGCTTTTAAGTTAAATATCTGTCAACAAGGCATCCAGAAGATGACACTACTTATGTTTAGACTCATCAGTGTAGTGCATCACCAGTGCATAGTAGTTTATCTAGGGGTTCTATCTTCACAATTATCAATATTTTAATTCTTGAAACATTTTGGAACACTCTCGGTATATGTATCCATGTTTTTTTCTCTCATGAAAATGAAGGCATAAAGGAAAGGGAAGAGGGCTAAGGCAATAGGGTTTGGATCTAGGTCATTAATAAATTACAATTTGGGAACTTCCTGACATATGCACTGTACCTAAAGATGCAAAATTCAGAGTACATCTCCCTTGATAGTTTATTTTTATTTTAAATACAACACATTTGTTTCCCATAATCAGTTTTGCAGGGGCATTATAAAAACAAATCTATTATTTCCTAGCAAACATTCCACTGAGATGGAATTACAGTGATCCATGCTGATAATTTCTGTAATACAGCCTGTGGTCTCCAGCATCAGAGACTTTAGAAACCTATGTCATTCAGTAACAAAGCCAGTTGATAAAATGGAAGCATACTGGGCCTCTGATAGTCACACTATGCAGTAGTAAACTGCAAAGTCAGTTATACTTTCATTATTTGCCTGTGTTTGAATTTACAATAAACATGTACACATTATCCAATGTTACTAGCAACAGTCACTTATGTTTCATAAGACCTTCTTGTAAGGCCAAATTAAAGATTGGGAAATCTTAAGATTTGTCTTTCAGTTCAGGTTATTCCTGTGTCTAGTTCTTGCTATAAATCATAAAAGTGAAAATAAAGTAAATGACGTGTCACTCAAGTAATTTATTAAGTGCTGAAATGGAAGCAAAGAGTTACACAAACAGCTGAAAAAGCAGAAATTATGGTAACTGTATGTGGATTGATTTGAAACTAGGAAACCTGCCACTTACACTTCAAAGGAGAAACAGGCAGTATGTTTTTCCTACAGTTACAGCAATCCTGGGAAACCTGGAAGGTACTTACTTCCTTACGTCCTGATCAAACCTATTCTGGACTTGTGCCTTTGCTGATGGACACTCAGCTTGCAATCATTCTTTCTGCAGACCTCCACAGCCTAAGCCCAGGGCAAATTTTCTAAAGCAGACTTACATACAGAAAGGATGAAGGATTCCAATTTTTCCAAGCACAGATACAAACATGCCAAAATATGGATCGTAGAACCTAAACTACCTAGAACATAATTTGGCTGAGATTTGTCAGTTCTATCATACCAGTCATCCATCCTACCATGCTCAGTAGCCAGTTTACGCAAATTAGAACAAGACTACACTGAGTGAAATATAACTTCTAAAAATAATTTTGTATCAAAAGTGTAAGACAATTCCACACTATTGGACTAATTCTAAAACACCAATAGTTTGTGGCCTGCAACACGACTACATCAAGTCTCTTCAACCTCTCCTCCTCCAAGACTGGTACCTGCTTCGGAGATGTGTCTTCTTCAATCATGCTTTCTTCAAAATTGGCCCCACTGATAGAAATCACAAGCTTTGAGAATGCAAACAACGATTGGAATACTATCATGAACACTACATTATGTTTTTCGTAAGCTACAAAAAAATAATATGAATTGGTGTTTGTGAGCTGAAAGTAAACATATCTGACAAAAAGAACATATTTATTGTGGGAAAGGCACAATTAAGTTCTTTCAGATTGTTCTTTCACGCATAACTAAAATGGTGCCAGTACTTCAAAGCAAAACGTCACAAAAATTGCCACATTCAGATACAAGTTAAGTGATTTGGCTTGTGAATGGTTTTAATATCCTCTGTAATTTATAAAAAAAATAGTAACAACTTCCAGGGTCTGACCCTTCTCAACGAATTAACATGAAGTCAGTTACTAACTTCAAGAGGCTGCTTGTTCAGAGCCCAAGAATACACAAAATTGCAAAAAAGCTTGTAATGTGTTAACATATAAACCTATGGAGCACGGTTACTCCACTATGCACTCACATGTAAGGTGTGTTATTTGCACAGGAATCAGAATAAAAACCAGTCACTACTTACATCAAGTTCTACTGCTCTAATAACATAGATTTGTATTGAACTCTTTTGTATTTGATAGATCAAGAAGGTTGTTTTTAAAACAAGAGTTCAACATTTAGGCAGGATAAGCACAGACTTTGTCTCTCCTTCAGGAACTCAGGGAAGAGAAAAAAGGAGCAGGACCTTTAGAAACCTTTAAAAGACAAAAAGCACAAAACTTCTAGATATGATAGTCATGGTGAAACAGGAGGAGGAAGATAAGTATTTCTGAACAAAAGGAACTTAATAAAATGACTATACCATATTTGTCCTTATAAATACATAAAAATATTAACATGTTCTTACAGGAAAACAACATAAAAAGCCACAAAAAAAATCTTGCTTTTTTTCTTACATGTGAGCAGAATTTTCAGGTAGTTTTTCCACTTTGATGCTTTAAAAAAAAAAAAAAGAAAAATCCTAGGAAGTAGCTGGAAAGTCCAATTAGGATATTAATGTTAAGGAGTTTAAAGGGATCCAGACTTTTCTCACTTTTAACTAGGAATTTATAAGGAGTTGCTCACGTTGTTTTCATTTAGAACATAGCGCATATATGTAACTGTCCCATATGAAGGAAATGCCTCCACAGAGAAACTTTTGAAGTCCAAGTTTTTCATGACTAGTTCTCTATGGGTAAGTATTATCCTACGTAAGTGATTTAAATAATCCTTTATCTAGTAGGATTTACAAGAAAAATAGCATTGAACCACTTCTGCTACCTAAGTTACTTAACACATTTTTACCTTAATTTTAAATATTTCCAACAGAGATTAAAGAGTATTTCCTTGAATGGCACAGTTTTAAGTATCTGCTATTTTTATATACAGTATATATATTTGTTTATAAATAACTGTGTAACCAGAAGATTGCACTCAGAAAATTACAGTATGATGTTTCAACATGTTTGCAGCACGAAGTCTAACTGGAAGGAGTGCTCTAGCTTTCCATGCAGCAGTACGTAGTGGATGCTTCCAATTTCTCATCTTCTTTTTGCTTTTAAGAATGTGTTCACACAACCATTCTTCGAATTCCACACTCACAGCAAAACTTAGCCCATTCCACTGGATACCTTGTTCCACATTCATGGCAGAACTTTGATAACTGTACAGGTGAATTTCCTTCGCTGCATTTTGAACTTCCTCCGTTGACTGAGGATGGGTAGTCTCCACTGTCATACCCAATTTTACCATCAGACCTGAAAATCCCCAGATAAAGAACATTCTCTGTAACTCAGTTCAGTGTAACTTGATGCAAAACAATTCTAATCCTTGCAGTGAATTACTGCTACTGTCATTGTCATTTTCAGGTTTATATTTCCTATTTATCTACAGTGGTATACCTTCTAACTCTACCCAGACTCCCCTACTTCTCTCCAGATACCCACCTTCCCTGCATGAAAACAAAAAATGTCAACATTTTAGGAGCAGGATCAATTATTTGATTCACTAGTTAGATGAACTGCAGTGTTTGAAAAATTAAAACTTAGCTTGTCAGGACAGCTAAAACAGCAATACAATTTTTATCCTACCCTTTAGAAGGGCAGACAGACAGTTTGTATGCTTAGCATGCAAATTTAATTCAATTTCAAATGAACCACTAACTTCCCATTTGAAAGACGATTCACTTTCTTTTAACAGCTCCTAAGAGGTTTTTGACATTTCTAACACTGTCTTCTGTGCACATTTGAGACAGCTGATGACAAAGGTGTTCTGTTAGATGATAAATATGCAAAACATATTGAGTAACTTAAACATGCAAAATAATATTGACCATGAGTTATCTATTAACTACAGAGAACAATGTTTTTCCCAACTTCTTTTGTAGTAAGTACTCCCATTTAATAAAGGTTCTATTGCTGACAAAATCCACAAAGTTAAAAGCTACCTTGAGTAACTGTCTGAACTGTTAGTTTTTCTTTTGTTTGTTAGAGCACCCGTGCTCATGGTTCTTGCCACACTAGGAGGGGTAGATGTCCGTGTTTTTGTTGCACCTCTAAAACAGAATAAATAACTGCTGATTTATATACACACAGAAATATATACAAGAATATGCATTTACAAATGTTATATTGCAAAAAGTTAGTTCAACTATCTACACATCAATTAATTGTATGAAAAATATAACTTATTTCCTACCAAGATCAGACAGAAGAGCTTTGGCATGGCCTTCCATGGTTCGGACTGAGTATGACTTGAACCTTACAATGACAAGCAAGTCCCTTTGTGTGTTTCACTTGCTATCACACCAAAATACAGGTAGATCCTGCACTACTGTGCAGGATGTTCTAATGTCTAGTTAGTTAATGTCTGTTAGTATGTTCTAATGTCTACCTTGACAGACAAGTCACTTTTTAGGACTGGCAGGGCTTTCAGAGAAATTGGGAATAGCTGACTGCATGTCTTCACAGTTTAAAAAAAAATGTAGAAAGGATATCATAGTCTCCATACTTAGTGACCAATACAAAGTGAGTCACAAGACTTTTCTTCATAGCCACACACTTTATTTAGGATGCATACTTCTCAGATAATGCTGTAGATCCTTCAAAGCATAAATACTGTATTTATAAATAGAAGGAGAAGAGGAAAGAAAGTCTAACCAGCTGGGCATCAGGGCCTAATTTTTTAATAGCCCGTCACAGCGTTCTTAAAGTTGGCTTAAGCTGTGAAAGGTGCTTTCCTCAAGACTCATGGGTTTTATGAGAAGCCAGTATGCAATGAATAGCACATCCTAAACATACAGAACATCTCACTGCTTGCTTTGATGAGTAGAGAAACATCAGAATCCCCTGAAAAATCTGAGTAGTACTACGAAAGAAAGAGATAGGAAGCGGCATCCTTTTATCATCAGTGACCAAGGTCAGAGTTTTTTGTCATTGCTCAAAAGAATTACCATTCACTGGGATTTCTTCTTCTTTGGCAAGATTTCAGTGACTATGACGTCTTGTGCATGACCCACCAAGTTTTTCAGTTCTTATTCTTGACCACTGATGCATAACTGAAATTTAAGTTGGGACTGGCTCATGGTCATTAAGAAAAAATTAAAACGAGACTATTTTAAAATCAGTCACCAAGAGCCAAATCAGCAACAAGAAAACAAAAAGTGATATTTTTTTTTTTCCTTCCCTTCAGATGAACCTAACTGGTGCTTCCAGAATTATAAGCAACTTAGTTTTGATTTGGTTTTCAAAGTATATATAAAGAAATGCATTCAGTTCCAGTAACTTCAAATGCAACACTGGCACAACTGTCCTGAATTTTTGTCCAAACATGTTCTGTTGCATAAAACATTTCTTCCTTCATGTTATGAGCATAGGCTAAAAATGGCTTTTCAGCTCCTTCCATTGTTTAAACGCTTCACTGGCAAAGTGATCAAATGATTAAGCACAGAAGTGGAAATCAGGGACTAAATTTAAGATTAAATTAAGTGAAATAATATCTAGCTAAAATATTCAAGTTTAACAAGAATGGCTTCTACATGCAAAAGGTAGAGTGGAACCATCAAAGATTCTGGCTCACTGAGAAGAACATCAACCTTCTCCATTCGTTTTCCTGTCTGCTCTCTTATTTATAGGAATGAGATTCTAAGGATGGTTTCATTAAAAAAGTTGTATCAGAATTAAAACCTATTAAAAGATATGTCAGTCTTCAGAAGTTACAGAATTCCGGGATGAAAGTTCTAAATGTAACCTAAATTACACTGTTACAAGTATGCACAACACTACAGATGCTAAATAATCTCTCTTGTGTTATTTCCCCCATCTTGTTTTAGCCCGAAGAGAGACCTTTACTTCAATATGGAATAAAATTCACAAGAGCTCAAAGTAGAAAGAACATACTGGACTGTTACTTTACTTGTTATGGAAGCTAGAAAAGCTTAGAAAACCCAATTCAACTGTAGACACAGAAACATTATGGATCATCAGACAATGATGCAAAGAACAGAACTGTATCTAAATTCCTGTTTAGGCAACTCCAAGTAATTTAAAGCAAATTTTAAAAAAAGTATTACTAACTCAGTTTTCTCTGGATTTTCAACTGGGGACCAACACACTACTTTTTCAAAAGTAACATCATTAATTTCTTAAACTGAAGTCTCTGCAGGGTGTACTTTGAATCAATCGTTTTTGAACATAATGCTAGGAGTCCTAGATGCTTGAAATAAATTAACATGAAAACCTGTCCACTGTTCTTTCCCCTATTTCAACTGTTCAATTCTCTAAAATATGTATAATATACCCTCATCCCATTAGGTACTCTGAAAATTCACCTGATGCTTTAATACTAGGTATATACTAAAGAATTTCTGGGAAATCAGTATCTTAAAAACATGATTTGCATTGTGTCTAGTACAGCATACAGGCCACTGACTGAACGGGGGGAGGTCAAAATATTGAAAAGCCACATTGGAAGTGCACTGTCCACCCTGCCTATTGAGGGAGGCAGAGTCCCATGAATAGATAAAGCATAATTTGTTAAAGGTTTAACAGTACATCTTCATCCTGAAATGTTTAAACATAGCTTTCTGCATAATTTCTGCAGATTTTTTTCCTCAATTAGTTTTCTAAAAATATGAAAAAACCCAAATCTATTTTCAGACTAGAAACTTTAACATGAGTCTTATAATTAACTGCAATGATTTCTGCCATTGTTGATGAGTAAATCAACAGAAGTAGCAGGCTGTCACTGTCTACGTTATTCATCCCAGATCTAGACACATAATTAGCATCAGGCTTCATGTATATTTGATGACAAATCTTGAAATTGCATCCTTAAATTGCAACCTGATCTCTAGAGACAGATGTCTTCCAACAAAGTCAGACATCCTTGATTATCTCAACTTTTGTCACTACAGCTTGGTCTCTTTCGATCCGTCCAACTTCTGCCACTTTATCTACTTGTCCAGTTCTGCTGTTTATTTCTGTTTGGATTTTTTCAATTTGTTTTTGCAAAGCTATATAAATCCCTGTTGTAATTTGAATCAAGTGAAGTGTTAATAGAGCCTGACAGCAGACAAGGCTGTGTAACAATGCCACCTTGAACTCTTAAAATCTGGGCATACCTTTAACGACATTTATTAACCATTCTCAATTTCAAAAGAAATAAGATTGAAGGGGTCTTCCCTATGTAAAGCAGCTCATGTTGTACATCTAGTTGAATTATCACTGCTTGCAAAATGAAAAACAAAAAGAGATTTGTAAAAGAAGCTCGTCTTTTTCTATTTATGCATTCACAATATGGTTGGATTTTGCCATAAAATACTGAAATATTAAGCTTGCTTCCTAGACAGGGTGTTTTCAGATATTCTTGACAGCTATCACTGTCACCCACAACAGCTCATAGTTCTGGGCAAAATCTTACACAAGTTCCTTATTACTAATGGCATGCATGCCAAAGTCCAAATTTTTGCCATAAACTGTAACCATCCACATTGCGATGTTGAATTTAACACAGCAGGCTAGTAGCGATTCACATCTGTTGAATGCTGTTGGCACATAACTTACTGAGTAACCTCCTGCAAGGGAGGCAGATTTAATTCATGAACGTAGTGGACATCTGATTAAGAACAACACTGATGTCATAAAGAGCAGAACATGCCTATATTCTTTAAGAAGTTCTCTCAAGAAGAAAAATCAAATGACTGCTTTATGGATAGGGGCTATTGTAAGCATGTTTAGTAACTCACTAAAGCAAATCTTCAACATCTTAGTAATGTATTATAAAAAACTGACCTAATTCTCGATAGTTCACAGGATTTATAGCTCCAACCAAATACGCAAAACAACAACAAAATCTGTTCGTCTAAAAAGTGCTCCTTTGTCTTTCATTCCTTTTGCTTCTTCATACAGAAACACAAGTTGAAATATTCTGGCCCGGTCTCAAAGATACTTCAGCTTTGGTTACAACACTAAAACAGCAATAAGTTTTAGACACAATTCTACTGTTTAAAGCATTACATTCCATGTATGTGCCACATAAATTATGTTTTGCAATATGCTTTAAGCTATTGTTTGTGAAGGATCAGGACATCTGAATTTGGCATCTTCCACATTATATCAAAGGGTTAACTACAATATAGTATATATTTTCTTTTTAAAAGATCAGAATACCCTTTCTTCCAAACTTAGATCTTAAACTTGCTGAATATTCAGAAGTCTTTATATGAGATAAGCTGGACTTAATAAAAAAACTTTACCTCCCATTACAAAGTCTGCCTTGCTTACATCCTTGGATCACAATAGCTACCTTACAGAAGTAGGAGACAGATGAATAATTGACTTTAAGAAAATAAGATTACTTTGTCATAAAACATTTGCCTGTAAGGGAGATATTTCTACAGTTATTGGGCTTAAGTGATTGCTTCAGCTTTACATCAAACTCATTTTATCTCAGGTTTACAAAGAGAGAATTTCATTACTCTTAGTTCATTATCAGTGACAGAAGAAATCAAATATGAGAAAAGTCGTCTTTCCTGTCCTACTATGAAGCTGTTTACCTAGCATGAAACAGATACTTGTACTAATCATATTATACTCTTCTCCCACAGCAACTATACTGAAGACATATAGGGCAGAAGATGTTTGCCAAAGTCACACTTTTACTACTCCCATGCTCTGGAGAAACATTTCTGCAAAACAGATAAACCACACTGATATGTAATACTTACTTCTTTATAGGCAACAACTCATTTGGTCTTTTGATGGTACTGTCTGTTTTTGTATCAGTGTCATAAAACCTTTGCACATCTCTTCCAGTTCGCAGTGGTGGGCCTAACTTGTCCATCTTACTACTAAAATATATAAAGGGGTACTCATAAGGAGATTGCTAGATTGCTATTCAAGTTATTGCAATAAAATTAAAGTACTTACAATTAAATATTTATATTCCCAAAGAATTCCCACTGACTAAAAAAATGTACGTATCAAACTTTAATAATCCAGCAAACAAAAGGGTTGTTCTTACTTTAAATAGAAGAGGATTTCCCAGACTTGTATTTGGATTAGGTTTCGAGTGCATTTTTTTTCTTTATTCTTATTTAAACAAAACAAAAATGTAATGCCTGTTATCCTCACAATCTGCACAATGCACTCACATTTGGCCTTTTTTCTTTTAAGAATAGCTTTCATAATGTCAAACTTATCACATCTAGAAAAGGGGCTCATAATTACAAGTCATGGTTACTGTATTAAGATGTTAGAAAATAACAGAGATGTAAGTACAAGCCTCCTTAACTTCAGAATTTGCAAGAAAGAAAATTTTTCCTTCTTCACATTTTTTTTTTTTTTTTGGTAAAGGCTGAACATTGTGCCCAGAGAGGATAACATGCCTTCCATTCTCTTTTCTTTTATGGAGATGAAAAAAGAACAGAGGAGGAAAGCCTAAAAGAAAAACAACTTTGGTTTAGTATCAAAAAAAACACTCACAACAGACAGTACTATAATCATAGGCAATACTTTAATACTTTATTATTATAGGTAACATTTCCAAACCTAAAAGAATAAACCAAAAATAAAATTTTAAAATATTAAATAAACAAAACATACCACCATCCCTTCCACACATCATCATAAGGAGAATTGTAGTTTTTGAGAAGTCACAACTTATATTCGAAAAATTATGTCAAGTAAAGTTCTGCTTTTATATCATCTTAAACAATGCAGCAAAACCTGCAAAAAGCCCATTGTATCTCCTCTCCTACTTCAATTACATAACTGAAGTTTCTTCTTCTCAAAAATGTGTAGTAACTTAAGCCTTAACTGGAAAATGAGGACACACAGAGCATTTTATTGATATTTATGAAATTAAAGAACTATAAACAAACCGGGCGAGATTAATGGAAATGGCTGGGTAGCTGAAACTTTTCTGCAAGCTTCCCACCCTTAAAAGGAAGGGAAAAAACCAAAGAAGCGAAACCAACAAAAAACACACCTTCACACCGAGAGAAGTAACTCCTTAAAATTACTGTGCATTTTTCTGTTTTTTGTCGTGCAACCTTAATAAGCTACGACGGCAAGAAAATTACTAAAAAGTTAATTGCTGCCAAGGAAGCATATTATTTTCAATAAAGCTTTCCATATATCAAAAAAAACCAAACAAACAAACAAAAAAAAAAATAAAGAGAGAGGCAGGCTCTCCTCTCCACCACCTGTATCAAACTACTTTTCATATTCCTTCTGCAATAACATCATATTAAGACACAGAACCTATAAAGTTTGCAACATAATTTGCTTTTTTGGGAATCTTCTAGTATGAACCCTGAAATTCACATTACTTCTCTACTGCATGAAAGGTAATCTTCCCATAAGGAACAAAAAATTCAGCACTGCTAAGTGATATTCATTATAAAGTCAGCAGGGAATACAGATTTTAGTCTTGACAAGTTATCCCCAAATAATGCAAGCTATAAGATAAGTTCTCCTAAATTTCCATTTCCCACTCCTCCTCCCAAACAGATATTCTAGTTCAAACTAATTGACTCAGGAAATGCTTAATTAATTCCTGTTTGACCAAATACACACTCTAGATATCCCCAAGGACTGAGAAGCAAGAGTGAGGTCTTTTAGCACTGCAAGACACTTACTCCAACCTATCACGACTTTCTTAGCTCTTTTCTGAACCTTTAAGAATTCATCAATATAAAGCTGTGAATTCCAGGCACCTACAGCATAGAATACCAAAGGCAATAACCTAGAAGCAGTCATGATACTGTGAAAATAAAGAACTGTAGTATACCACATTTTAAAAAACAAACCGAAAGCTGACAGCCCTTTCATGTACTAATGAAGAAAAGCAGAATCATAAGAATCTTCTGAAATGCAAAGACCACCAAGACAACTTCTTATTTACCTTGATTTCACTGAACAAAGTTGTTTGAGTGTTAATGAAAGGAACAAGCTATTTTAAAAATGCAACAGTTTTAAAGGCTACACATGCTGTACAGCAAAAATACAAGTAAAATTTAAAATTTACTGATAGTGGTTAGGTGTGCCATTCATATTGCATTTCAGCTGTAAGACAGTACTGGATCTGTCACTAACAGACATGATTCCCAGAAGGCATAAATCTGATCAGCTTAACATTAAATAGTAAGTTTTAATCACCAAAATAAAATTAAAATGACACAGTAATTTCTAAGGGTTCGTTTGCCATATTGAAAAAAATAATGTAATTTTCCAAGTCCCAGTAAAACAAAAAATAATAAAAAAAGATACTGTTCATAAATGAAACATGCATAAACAATTCATCTGTACATGTAAGAGATCCCTGGCTGGACACAACCAGTGGTGTCAAGTTCTGTTAGGCAAAACAGTTTGAATGTGGGGGTGGAGTTTGTCTGCTTAGCCTTAGGATAGGAAAAACCTACCCAATTTTTTCTCCTGAGGATCTGGTTACTTCTGACAGCTTACTAGAACTGCCCTACCCCTCAAGAAATGTAAGACAGTGTTGAACTCTGTACTCTTACAAAATAGGTATCTAGCATAGGATCTTAACATGATTCACTATTAAAATATAAGCCTAACTAGAATTTATGTAGAATTAATTTTCCTTTTCCCAGTTCTTCAACATAAAAAAAATTTAATCCTATTTTCACACAAGCGAATGAAGGTTTTCCTACCGACTACAATACAGTCCCACACTACTCTTGCACTCTTACTTGCTTCTCTAGGACTCAGAAATTATGCCCCTATGCTACACTTCCATTAATACTTGTAACTGGTTGTGCTCTTACTTTGTCCAGGCAGAAAAAGAAAACTCTCACAGCAGAGCTCAGCTGACACATCCTGATCTACATGTACAAAGGAAGCCTCACTAACGCTAACCTAGCTTATGCTGAGGATGCTGTGGTGTGCTTTCTCAATAGTCCTTTACTCAGGGAGCAGAAGAGGAGAATTCAAATTAAAAAAAAAAAAAAAGCGTATCAAAATGACTTAAAATAAAATAGTTCATAAAATTTGGTTGCATTTTTGCTCATACAAAAATAAAAATTTATACTGAGATACTGAAGTTGAACTTTATTTGAAATGAAGTTCAAGAATCTTTCTTTTACAGAACTAAACACCTTAGAGACTCAGTTCGTCTCAGTCTTCATCTTTAACACAAATGCATGGATTCATGTGCCTTTCACTGTATTTTCAGGCAGTTCAAGAGTGCCACCTAAAGAGCAACAGGGGAACTGCACGCCTGTATATGTTAATCACTGCTGGCTGTTACATTAGCCACCAGATAGTCATTTCTTGATCCTTTGCATATTCATCACAGAAAACAGGTACCGTGATTCTACAGAAAGAAGCAATGTCTGATTAAATTGCCCTCCTCCAACATACATATAATTAATCCTTGATATTGAGCAATATAATTTTAATTATACTGTTAAGCCTCACTACCTCTCTGCCAAATCTGGAACTACAACAATCTAGGCAAAAATGGAAGGTTTCACTTAATATGTAAAAAAACCCCAAACTAGTTTCCCTTAGGGAAAACTGCAGGAGCTTGTTTCTTACAGAAAAAAATGGAATTTAACCTGGCTCTTAAATATTTCCCAAGGGAGGAAAAAAAAAAATAAAAAGTCACATGATTGCTTAACATTCCATTTGAAAGATTGCCCTTCAAACAATACATATGCAACACTCTGCTTGGTAAATCAGTTCACTAACAACTCAGAAGAAAGAGCATGACATCTTACAGCATGAGCTCTGCCTGACTTAAGTACAACAGAACCCCAGATCTCATGCTATGGCTTGTCATTTCACTGGTTAAGCCATAAATGTAGCAAGTGAAATACGTCTTGTTTCATCCTAATGAAGGCTATTCTTACAAAATTTTAAAAGCGCTTTTAGTTTATAAAATAATCCTAAAGCTGCAATTAGCGATAGCCTAAATCACAAGATGTTTTAATGTTTAAAATCTGTGTCACTACGGTATTAACTATTCTCACTCTCTGATTTGGGATGTTGATTGTTAAGTGTCTCTGTCCCTGCTCTGATATAATTTTGTAGGTATTTCAACAGAACCCTACATATTTCCCCCCCTCACACACCAATACTAAGGCTGAGGCCAAAACTGTCACTAGTGACCCATCTGAGGCACCTAACAGTTCCATGTTCTAAGGCTGCTTCAACATTAACTCCTGAGAAACTTGGTCTCAGAAGTGAACACAAAGTAGCTAAAAGAAAAATAAAGAATTGCTAGGTCTCAGGTATAACGCTTTGCAGAGACACATTTAACAGCCATCTCTGAGAGGACTGGTTAGTATGACCAGCAAGAAACCATGAGGACAAGAAGAGAATGCAAATTTTTTAGAGCAAGGAAGTGAGAAGGACTGCAAGCAGAAACACACTCATCACATACATACTCTTAAAAACTGGAAATTAAGTGAGGTTATAAATCAAGCTAACATTCACTGCCTCTCAGCAGACAGCATTAACGGAGAGCATTGCCAACCAGAAGTCATCTATTTGCAGTTAATAGCATGTCTGAACACAGAGAACCTGGGCAAACATCCCTCCATTTATTAACTGCTATTTGGCTTGGTCACATCACAATTCTTCCTCCAAGCTTCAGAAGAGGAAATGGAAGACTACAGAATACCAAGCACTAAGTCCACTGGGCAACTGACTGGTAAAATTAAATAGAACTTCCCTGTTAAGAAGTGAAAATCAAAACCTGTGTCCCTTCACAAACCAATACAGACAGCAATCAGGAACTCCATCAACAATATAAAGCCTTTCCCAGACAACTGGGATTCACCCCAGGAGTCAGAAACATGCCTTCAAATTATCTCAGCTGACTTTTTTACTGCAGGTGCAGACCTACTTGTTTGTCACACGTCAGTAGGTGTTAATTCAACTTCGGAACATGGAGAAATGTGATATAAAAATCAGTCGCTGAATAACAGAGGGTGGAATTTTCTGACACTTGAAGCATAGATGTCTGCAAACAGTAGTGAAGCTGACCTGTAGACCAAAGACTACTAGGACACTGGGGGTAGGGGGAGAAAGAATAATAAAAAAAAAATACTTCTGACAACCTCATGGACTCTGCCTCCAGTCTCTGTCCGAAAGACTTAGTGTAAGTGGGTAGAGCAAGGAGAGACAGAACAGCACCCTCATGCTACATGGTGTTAGGAGGGAGGTATGACAGAGCTGTAATTTAAGTCTTACAAGTTATGCACAAGCATAAGAACAATAAACCAAAAATGACTAGTTTTGTGTAATTAATAAAGCTGTCCATCCCCATCAGTTCATTCAGAATGTCCCTTTCCTTCTTCACAAACTTAAGCCATTGTTTTTCTCCACCATATACAGCCTTCACCAATCTGATACTTATTTTTATAGGAATAAGTAATCTTCAATCACCAACGTTATAACTGCAATCACTTTGTTGTATTTTTTACGTTTTCTCTCAGTGCTCCTTGGTGTGCCTCAAACTTCTCTAAAATTGCATTACTTCAATCTCTTCTATACATTTCTTCTTTGAGATAGTGTGCACTAACGGCCCCAGCAAAATATCAAGAGCAGCCTTGATCACACTAACACTTTCACTGAACTCTGGTAATTTACATCTACCACTTCTTGTTGCTGTTGTAGAGCACTGGTTTCCATTGCCTTATTTGTGCTCATTTATTTGTTGTCTCTTGGGTATTTTAAGACAGGAAAGGGAAGAGAGAAAGTATCCAACCTTTCGTGCTAAGAGGGAAGATCCTGTCACAATTGGCTTGTGGTCTGTGGCAGAAGTCTCCTTCTTTTATTTCCATGAATCTCAGGAAGTTATGCCTACTGTTTTCTCCTTTTTTATGTCCTTTCACTTTTACACTCCAACCACTTCTATAACTTTTTAATCTACTTTATATCTGTTTTTATCACTGGACCTCCTTTGCTGTTATTTTAACATTATAAAATGCATCTTCGCCTATTCCAAGGCTCCTTAAACATTAATTGTGTTTACAAATAAAGAGTAAATTCAGAACACTACACTTCTGAAGCTCACAGGGAAAAAAAAAAATGCAAGTGAAACAGACCACAGAGACTTCCAGAACTAGCACAACATAAATAGGATATTAAGTAAAAACGACAACATTAAATGGAAACTTACCCTGCTTGTGGGTTCACCATTCCCAATGAGTTTTTATGAGCTGGTGACAATGTCTGGATTTTGCTCACACTGGATCCAGACGAAGAGAGTGCTTTACTTGAAGAGGCACCTTGCAGATGAAAGCAAGCATGGAAATACAAGAAAACTCAAGATTTTGCTGCTAGAATGGTACAATTCATTATATAGTTTTTGACTGGAAAATTCAAAACAAGAGTTTTAGAAATATCAAGATACTAGGAAAAAGCAAGTACGTTTCCCAAAATTTACAGAAAATATGCAATTGAGACATAATGTTCTATTCTAATAAAAAACATTTCATCTCAGTTAATTTCTTCAAAAAGGAAAAGAAGTCTAGATTGTCAAAGTATGTACAAAAAGAAGGTTTCACATCTGATGATATGTGAAATCAGAGTAAGACCAGTGTTTGCATAAATATAATATACATGGCTTAACTGTGTATTTTCATCGATTCATAATTACATTCAGCATACAAATTAGTTACAGAATTAAGCAACAGAAAAATCTCAGGTGAGAGATCAGTATTTGACACAATTATGCATTACTACACAGAATAATTTTGCAGGTTCAATTCAGAAAAAAATTTGACTCAATATATAAACCAGAAGAGAATCCTATGTGCTCAAGTCTTGTTGGACAGATGCCAATCAGTGCCCCTTTCAACTTTACTTTAAATGAGTTTTTACAAACCACTATATCAAATTTAACAATAAAGTATATAGCCACCATATATATGAAGTCAAAAAAATCAAGTCATAAAAACATGGTTTAAAAAACATTGTATAATGAAAACCAGACACGATCTTATCCACTCATGTAACACTGAACTCCTATGAATTTTTTCACTTCATCACTTTAAATCATTGGGCAATGTTATAGAAATCCTTCCAGTTATTAAAATTATACTACTTTTACTGCATAGTTTGAGAACCGATATTTAGAAAGGAAAATTCATAACATTCATTTCATACCTACAACAGTTTTGCTAACACTGCTTGGCTGTGGTAAGCGTGATGACGATGGTGGTGTTGATCCTACAGAAGGCATCTTCTTAACTGCAGCAGGTTTGTACTGTAACAAAATACAACCTAGAAATTTAAGCAATTAAATCAAACTATCTATGTAACACGATAGGTAGTTATCTCAGGTACTGTGGGAAAACAGATGATGATTATCTGCTAGGTAAACTGTTTCCACTACGGGATCATGCAAATGGTTTCCACTAGTCTGCTTTCTTATACATACAGATGATACCAGTAGGAAAGATTCTCTCAGTAGTTTTGTTTTTTAACTACGTCTTTGTGTATTTTCCACTTTTCTACAGCATTTCTCATCTTTTTTTCCATAGCTGTCTCTTAAGATTAACGTTATCACCTCATTACCAGTTAATTTTAAAAAGAATACTGAAGGGTAGGATCATTTCTGTCTTTCAAATCTTACACCTGTATGTTCTGGACCAGTCCCTGCACTGATTCAGAATCCAGTGTAAGAAGACACAAGCAGTTATTTAGTGATGTTTAACTCTTCACAGCCTTCGGAAAAAAAAAAGCATTACCACTAAATGAGAACACACACACATACACTTTAACCTTTCATTTGTTTCTATCATAAATTAACTACTGCAGCTCTTACCTTAATACACCTGAATTCCTCTAAGCCTCTAACTAGCCAAAATATTGCTGTCAATTGTCCTGCAGTCATGTACCTTTGTTTGTCCACTTAAGGAACAGTCTTGAATTGGATTCAGAAGACTTGCACAACAAAATTTTAACTTCCTTTACAAATACTGCATCTCTACTTCCTGCTACTACCCTTACCTGTCGTTTTCACAAATCTCTGAATTACATTTATGACTGGTTTTGGTTCTATAACTGCTGCCTTCTGATTTATGGATCTCTGCAACTCTCATAAGAAAGCAAAAACCTCTTCTATGCTTAGTGTCTAATCTCAGTCTAACGCAAATAATAAAATTACAGAATAAAATAGTTAATTCCATTTAAGAGCAACACACTATTTAACAAGCTTCAAGTTAAGAAAAATGTTGTAGTTCACCTGTGTTCTTGTAGGAAGCTTCCCTTTGGTATCAGCTGCCAATTTCCCCTTATTAGTAATACGTGCTGCTTGCTCCTTACAGAAATTGATGTGCCTGTCAGCTGCATTTTCATTAAATCTCCTCTGACAATATGGACACTGAATGTAATCTTAAAAACATAAAAGCCTAACATTAGTAACGCATTTTAAAAAATAAAGCATTTTAAAGTCTTTTAAAGACCAGCCCCGGCCCCACCCCAGAAAAAATGAAGGCCTCTTGAATCTGAAAATTAAGTACAGATAGCTGGGAAAAAGAATACTGTCCACATGTAACACAAAAGATGTTTCTTGTTTGATGGATATAAATGAGAAGAGTGACTGAGGATCAGAAAGAACCTAAGCAAAATCAGAATCACTTTGAGAGATGCTATTCAGCAGAGCCCGTGGCCAGAGAGTTATACAGATGTGGCAAGGATATCAGCTGGAAGGTGGAAAAAAGAGGCTGAACAAAAAACAAGCACAGAAACACCAAAAAAAAAAAAAAAAAAATCACAAACACAATTCAGTTTGTTCAAGATACAAAAATGCATTAAAACTTTTCCCATGCAAATAGCGAAAGTCAACAAAATCTGTTTCCTCTGGCAATTTTGAAAGGACCAAGAAATACTAACTGCAATACTGGGCATGATCATTAAAAAAAAGATTGGAAATTTAACAAAAAAAAGTATCAGAGGAAATCAGGCAAAATTAGGAGGTATCTATAAAGACATGTGAAACCGGGTAATTGGTGGCTGTATTATTTTTCAAGATAAATTTAGTTACATCTCAAACAGTACTACTTGCAGGAAATATTATTATTAACATTAGGGGAAAAAACAGAAAGGCTATGTAGTCTTTAAAATACTAAAAGATCCCTCATCTGTATGCTGGAAATATACTCCTTAAAATATACTGCCCTTAGGAAGTAAAATGTTTGGACTGCAGTTTCAGATAGACATTTTAGTGTCTAGAGATATGGATGCTGAATTCCCCACATTACAGTATTCAAAATCATGTAAATATCAACTTCAGAAGAGCTGGACACTGCCAAGCAGGTTAAATTTGTATGTTCCTAGGTGATTTTAGAAATGTATTGAAGAAAATGAGGAGACAATCAACAGTCACTGCCTCCAAGATTACAGCTAGGTATTATGCAATCTAAAATAAGATTTGGATTACATGTTACTACTCCAAATGCAGCAGATCTGGCTTAAGTAGTTATGACTTTAAATTAACAAACAATTTTGAGTCAGTCAAATGATGTAGTGGCCACCAAACCATGAACTGTGACCCAAGAGGTGTGAGCAAAAGATACAGGAAGAACACAGGAATCCTTCAGAGAAGAGACACCAGGGGAACCTCATGTGATAACAACAATGATTTATTTATTTTACACAAACTCCACTACAGTCAGAATACTCAAATATAAACTATACCTTAAGAGACAGAAACTCAAAAGCAGAACCACTATAATATCTATGTAGTCAAGCCAAGATAGGCCCAAACAAAGTTAAATAAAAGGTTAAAAAAAAAAAAGCAAAACAGATTAATAAAGCAGCTGTGGAAGCCTCTAGATAATAAGAATAGACATTTCTAGCTGTTATTCAGCTCAGTTCCCATGAAGGCTTTCAAATCCCACTAAACCAAATGGATGAGACTATAGAGAATTAATGTATACTCTTAAGAATCAGGGATTGTATCTTCATTCTTTTGTAAAATGCTTAGCACCAGTCAGCCACCTGGTTATCTGGAAGTACTGTTTGTACTGTCCAGAAGAACTGTTAGTATTCAATGTAAGCTTTATAAAATAGAAACTAATTCAACTAGGAGGACAACACACACATGCAGACAAGTTCAATGCAAATGGCATGACTTAAGGTCCTTCTTGGTATCACGAGGCTATTTCACACTTCTAAGGAAAAGATGGAACAGGAGATCGAAGAACCGGTAATACTGCTTGTCTGCAAACTCAAAGCTTGCCCTTAAGTAGGTACTATTAATACAAAACTCTTTCCTTTTAAAGGAGAAAGACAAGCAGCTAGTTAGATACGGGCATGCCAAAGACAAAGCTGAGTAGGAGAGGATAAATACACTCCATGATACCATACATAATTCTCCCTCTCTCCTACATGTAAAGCAGAAAAGGAGCAACAGTAGCTGCCCCTGCCCTACTTCTGTTCTACTTGTGAAAAGAAAATCCACTGATCGATTCATTCATCTTCTATTCATTCCTCATTCCCTCTTCCTAAGTCTTATCCACTGCAGCAGGATGAAGCCAGGAGACTAAAACTGGTAAGACTCAGTTTGGAAAAAGTAAAAACTGGAAGAAATGGAGGCACAGTATCTTTTCTCTTCCTTTTACCTCCTATCTGTTTTCAAGTTTGCTGAATAGAGTTACTTCCTTCACTTCAAACTCATCTGCAATCTCTGGAACCAAGGGAGAACCATTTTAGCAGCTTTTCCAAGCCAGATTTAGTTCTGGGCTCTTCTGCTTGTAATTCAGAACCTATACAACTAGATTATTAATGACCTTTTCCATAATCGAGCCTTATGTTTCTTATTCTCAGCATTAGCTATTGGGCTTACTTTAAAATGCATATGACATTTCAAGATAGTGTGTACTAAATGCTGAATAATACAACTTCACTTCTTACTATGAATGCACCATTACTATCCTAATACTGGACTAACACTTTTCCTGTAGAGAAACAAGGCAGGGAACACATATCCTCACTTGACCACAGACAGGCAGAAGCAAACAGATGCTTTTTTCCATTTTTCCCAGTCTTTCTGAAAAATAGCCATTGAGATGATCAAATGGTTTAGCTCTTAGGACAAGAGGAAGAAATATATTCTCCACCTACTCCCACATCACAGAAGTTAACTGAAAAGCATATTTCCTTCTCACTCATATCGGACTGCTTCAACGCTTTACCCGGCATCAGTAAGACACCCAAGGACCATCACTCCCTTGCTAATACAAATCCCACACATCTCATACCCAAAACACAAGTATCCCCACCACATGAAGAAGGATCACATGCACACTAGAGCATACACTGCACGCATGAACGTGAATTCATCAAGAAATAGGAAAGAGTACATGTGAAGAACACAGTCAACACCCATTCCTACAATGTAAATAGGTCGTGGATGTCCAGCATGGGCAGCTCTTTCTGAGCAGTTTCACTGTTGTGGACAGAAACAAGGTGTCAGAACAGTTTCTCCAGCCTATGGTTCATAAGCCAGTAGCAAGCTGCAAGTTGGACACAACTACTTTTTGATGCATTAAAAACAAAGTCATGGACTTTGAAAGCTACAGAGGATACTAGCCAGACCCATAGCCACAAACCAGCATCTGGTTTAATCTGGGATAATCAGTCACTTCAAGAACTTGTGAATATTGTATTCCACCAAATTCCTTTCCAATTCAAATTTTTACAAATTAAATTTAAAAAAAGAAATCTCTGAAGGACTCAATTGCTTTACATACCAGGGTCATATGATGGTGGAGGTGGTGGAGGGAGTTTTCCACCATCTTTAAGGTTAAGTCCTTTGGCTGCTCGTATAGTTGCTATAAATTCTTCATGCTTTCGTCTCCAGTTGGAAGGTTTTTTGGGTGGCTCTGGCTGAGAAGCCAAAAAAGAAAGAGCTTTATACATTTGAAGCTCTTGCTTCAAGCTAAGTACATGCCTTATTTTAGTACACAACATTATAGTTAGTTTTCTTCCAAATCTGAGTTGATCTAATTATCACAAATTGCCAGCAGAAATAAGCCTTATTATAACGCATGCATAGTTTGCCTAAAATGTTCATATGCAGAGTAAATTGTAACATACCCGTGGCTTAAGAGGTTTTACTGTGGGAATGTCAGTTCCTTCTGCTCTCTGGCGGCTGGAATCAAATGTCTTCCTTTTCTTGGCAGAAGTTTTTTGGCAAATGGGTCCATGCTTTTTCTAAAAGCATGAAAAACAAAAGGACAATACAGAACTTGGTTCTGAAAACCTATGTTATTAACATAGTATTTGTCTCTTTCTCAATATGACAATCAACAAACAAGGCCCAACTCTTGATGAATAAGATCAGACTGCTTTCACTCAAACATTTATGCCAGCCATTACTTCTAAAACAGAACTACAGGAATTCATGAATGTATATACATGTCACAAAAACTTGGGCAATGAAGAAGAAAAATAGGAGGCACCTGTATTTACTCCTTGCAAATAAAAAATTGATGGTAGGTAAGCAGCATTTGCATTGAGTGGCAAGACAAATCAGAGGTGTCTGAAATCCATATTCATATTTAAGGACAGGTCAATTTCTATTAAGACTGAAAAACACAATAGGTTGAAGATGGCTAACAAAACACTTAATTTACCAGCTGAGACTGCAGAATGCTAGGGCTTACACCTGCAGAGGTAAGGAATGATCCCGTGACCCTAGAGAAGTTGCTTTTAGAAGCATGTATTTTCAGAAAGTGATGGGATGATGAAATAAAATTAACCTCCTTCTAAGTAGCTTCAAAACTGGGACAACTGGATGTCTTAGTTTGGGCTGAAATAGAGTTAATATTCCTTTTCAGGGACTAGATGAGTGCTGTGTTTTGGATTTAGCTTTGGGTTTGGTATGGGAAGAATGCTGATAGCACACTGGTGTTTTCAGCTGCTACCGAGACTTCAAGGACTCTCTGACTCTCCATGTCCTGCCCGTGCGCCAGGGCACAGGGAGGGAGCACGGCCACAGCACCTGACCCTAACTGGCCAGTGAAATATTCCATATCATGGCACGTCATGCTCACTATATAAAGGAGGGGTGGTTGGGAAGGAGCTCTCTCGCTTCCAGGATTACAATTGTGGGATCTTGGTATCTCGGGGTCGCTGGCCGGGAACGGGCTGGGGATTGGTTAGTGGGTGGTGAGCAATTACGCTGTGCATTGCCTGTTTATATATTTCTTTTTGTTTTTCCCCCATCATCGTTACTGTTTTCACTTTATTGCCATTATTAAACTGTTCTTATCTCAGCCTGCGAGTCTCCCTTCACCCCTCTAATCCCCTCCCCCATTCCCAGGTGGGGAGGGGCAGGGAGGGTGATTAGCTGCGGGGGTTGGTTGCCAATCAGGCCCAAACCACAACACTGGAATTGATAATTATTTTTGGGGAAAAAAACCAACTGAACAAAAAAACAACACAAAAACCCCACCAAAACAAAACATCTAGATCTACTTTATTTAGCTACAGTGACCACAGTTTAACTTTCATATCATCTTATCAGATGTAAAAGCCAACCATGATCATGCTACTTACCAGTGCTGCTGGAAAGAAAGTCCTTCCACAAATCCTACATGGTAACAGATCTCCAGTTTGCACTGTAACCTCACCTTAAAAACAAAAAAACAAAACAAAAAACCTACAATGTACTTCCATAATAAAATTTGTTTAAATTTGTGATAAAAATTTCCTCCTAGATTGCTAACTTCATATACTTAGCAGTAACAACAGTTGTTACTGTAAAAGTATACATTCTTTGAACTGTGCAGAGACTATGCAGATCAGAATGAAAAAGATGATACACAAGTCCTTACATACTTTTGGAAGCAGTCAGGCCCAGTAACACGTCACCATTGATTCTGGTAACTTACAATACGAAATTCTGCACCTTTAAAAGGATGCCTGTATGCCAACGTGCAAATGACAGATTCACTCTAAGGCACATCAAAAGCCCAAACACACATCAAGAATAATGATATTTAGTGGGTATTTGTGTGTCTATGTAAGGGAATCACCTGTTACAATCAAATATAAGTCACATCCCATCACTTATTTTTTTCTACTAAGTTAAACTATTCCATATTCTCTTGTAAAGAAAAAAACCTTTAATCCTATTTTTACTATATTTTATTCAGATTATTATTAACAGTTTACAAAAGCATTTCTGATGTTGCCATTCGTGCACTGGTAACGAAAATGTAAATGGTATATCTGACATACAGATTCACAGAATCAGATAAAAGACCAATAAATCAAAGTATCCAAGTCTATGCAAGCAAATATATCCATATAGTATGCCTTATGCAATGGAGTCATGGCAGAGATGAAAAACTCCACAGGGTTTCCCAAGAACAGGTATCTATTATATTTAGTAGTGTACCAGAGGGACACAGGAATATTTTGATATCACATATACGTCAATAAAGGGGCAGTAAGTTTGAATTAAGTTTGAGAGTTACTAGTTGCTTTCTCTGTACTCAGTCTGACTATTGCTGACAATACAGCTCCCCCCTATTTATACAAAGTTGAAACAAACCCACTTTGAATTGACTTGTATTTTAGGCGAACCAGTGTCTTTAATGAAGTTAAGAAAACAGCAATGTTCAATGATTTGATCAGTTTTTGTTCCCAGTTTCCCAGTAGAAAACCATTTTCCATCTAAACACACATACTTGTCAATTAACTGTAGGACCAGTCTTAAATAAAATGGGTAATTTAACAAAATGTTTCATGGCAAACAAACAGACTCAGGCAGCAGGGATCTTACTGAAAAACTTTTTTTTCAAGTGTAAAGATTAAAATTGAGTGAAATTTCTAGAACCAATATGTAATAAGCTTTTCTCAATTTTCCCACTAAAATTACAAGGTATGCACACATGTATTGCTTCTTTGTTTCATTACTTCAGTCTTCAGTGTTCTTAGCTCTCTTAATAATGCTAAATGACATCACTGCAAACTCACTTCTGCTAAAGAGTTCAACTTCCTTTTATCACATTAGTCTAATACAACCCTCAGCTTTGCAGAACAAAGTATAGCATAAGAATAAGGATTTGACTGAGAGAAGAATTCTTACAAATATATCTGCCTTAGTAAAAGAGACGTTACACTTTCCACCATTCTTTTCTGTTCACTGATCTCTGGAATTTGAGGTTATGTTTAATTCACCATTAAAAGAAGTAGACTTGATAGATGTTCACCTGATCAAGCAGTATTTACATACGACATAGCAATGCATAACTAATGCCAATTAGCACTCACTGCAGCTACAGTTAGAGAGCTGGATTTCCTTACAGCATTCCTACCCTCCTCTGCTGCTGGCAGGTACTCAATCACATTTGCCAAGAGCTATTTCTACTGCCAACATCTCCTCCTCATAATACAAATCACTGACCTGAAACACAAAAGGAAGTTATTTAAAAAAATTAAAGTTCCTTAAATTTTGTTGAAAATGAGAAGCCTACACTCCTTTAGATTTGCATGCTTACCCTTTAAATTTCTTCATCATTCATCTGTGATTTTCCTCACTTTTAAAGTCAAAAAACCAAAACCCAATGAAACAAACCCACAAAACCTTAACATTTCTCTCTAGGAGCCCATAAGCCTTCCCTTACAGAAGGGTTAGCAATGTCATCAACATGAAATCTGATAATTTAAAAATAAAACATGGCAATAAAATTGTGGAAGTTGGAAAAGAGTTGGGTTTGGGTTTTTTTGTTTGTTTGTTTGTTTGTTTTTTAAGGCATTCGTGCATGATATCTAATGCAGTCAGTCATGGACTGCCTGATTTTTTTCCCTGAACAGAAGTTAACAGAAATGGTTGTTAAATTGAGATGTATTGGGGGAAAAGCGGTTAAAAAAAAGGGATCACTCAGATCAAGAAATGGATGAAGGATTTGCTTGACAAATGAGTCTGAGAACAGAAATTAGTAGTAAGATGGTGTCATGGCCATTTTCTTCAGTCCTCTTTATGTCTAGCAACAATGCAGGAATTACCATCATTTTGGTTATACAACCACAGAAGACCCAAGATCCAGCAGCTACACTCCTTTTTCCTTTTACCATCTTTAACACCACTAATCACCAGCAGTTTACATGCCTGTATTAAAGATGAACAAATATAGCTAACTTGGAAAGGAATGGACACAGTTATTACTGTTTATCTAAGCACATTTAGGGAAAAGTATGTTCAAAATGGTTATGTGAACACCAAAGGAAGAAGTAGTATTTCAGATGAAGTGATGCCAAAACTTTACACCCTACTCCTACTGTCTGCCTGAGATGAAGTCTCAAATAAAAACACAGAGTTTAACCTACTAAGATCCTGGATACCTGAATTAAACAACTAGATTAGAAGTTTTGTTGGCAGCACTACAATGAATCTCATCACTTGTGTTTCTAAACTGCCCCCGTCAGAGCTCCTCCTCCTCCTCTGGCTACTTCGAGTACAGTCACCTTCCAAATTATTTTTTTCTACCTACACAGAAGTTATTGCACACATTCCTTTCGAATATAGTCACAGTCTAGTTACCCATACTTTCTGATCTTGGAGTTTAGCTGTAAAGTCTGACAGCACAGTTCTACAGTCAGTCTCTCAGATGTAGTACAGTGCTTTCAATACTCTTATAAGTGAATTTAGACTTCTGGAAACCTTGATTTCTGGGGAGCAACTGTTTTTTTTTTTTTTCCTCTCTCATGTTCAAATACAGCAACTGATTTACAGTGAAAAGTGCAAGGTGCCAATTCTCAGATTTACCTTTCTCAGTACAATGTGTGGACCCATCAATACATACAAGTTTGATCTGACAGAGTCACAGGCACCATGCTAGCTCTTGCTGTCATGTTTACAAGTTAAGCAGTTGTGTAAATAAACTCCACAACTTGAGGGAGCAGAAGTCTTCAGTACCGCTGAACCACTATTAACTGAAGTGTTATTACATTTTTCTCTTTTGGAGAGCTTTGTATACCCAAGTATGTGTCTGCATTTAGATATAAAGTTCAGAATGCTTCAAGGAAACAAGACTGCACTTAGGCTCAGTAACAGTATTTTGTCATGTTGTAAAATCAGTCTGGCTGCCCTTCAAAACCTTTCATTTACCTGCAGCAGTGACAGTACTAAATGACTTGGGCCAGAGAACTATGATAATCAGAACCATCAAGCTTCACTGAATTCAAACTTGCAGAAACACTTTGGTAAGATTTCCAGCCTTGAGACTAGGTACCTATTTGAAACCAGGACGTAAGCTACAACTGTCGAAAGCTACTACTTGAAGAGTGCTTGCCAAATTCTTCTGCAAAATTGTTTTTATTGCTTCTGGTATCACTCCCCTCTCATCTTCAAAAGCAAGTTATTCTCCACTTAAGAGTTCCATATACTTCAGATACGGAAAAATATGTGCATTCCCCACATTAATTGGAACCTGTATCATCAAGCCACAGCATCTAGTTCTTTGGAGACTGTCAGTCTCCAACATATGTCCACTAATCAGTATTGACTGGGTTATATTTTTTGATCAACACAGTAACAAAGAATAGTCTGAAAAGACTTATAACAAATACTATAAACAAGGGTCACCTAAAAATGATACTGATGCAGTAACATAGGTAGGGAATGTTTCTTTGAACTGACCAATAAAATTTCTCTTTAAGTCTCTAAATCGTAAAGAACATTAAATACAATAATGAAAAGACAAATGTACAAAAGTAGGAAAAAGTATACCACTAACGGTGTAAGTTGTGCAAATTTTCATTATTTTCCCAAAAGGAATCCTGAAATGGAAATGATAGTCAGACAAATACACCATGCTGCTTAACAACAGGCAGTACTGGTAAAAGTCTGCTTGATAAGTGACGACATGCATGGTTTACTCCACCAGTCAAATCCCTTTTCAGCTATGCTGTTCAGCAGTTTGCCGGGAAAGTCAGAGAAAGGAATAAGAAACCATAGTAAGCTCTGTCTCTTAGTATTCAACTATTCACATGCTTTGAAATTTTTATGCAATTAGGTTATTCGCAATTGTATAACAAATAGCAAACAAATCTACTATTATCTATCTACCCCTAATTTTAAAAGAAAGCCTCATGCATTCTCTGCTATTTCTGTATTGACAATGCAGTCTAATCTTGTATAAACCTGTCACTTCTGCTTCCAAAAAGATAATAAAAAGCAGCATAACTTTCATTCCTTCAAGCTGAAAAGCTTGAGTAAGACTTTCATAGTACCTCTGCATGTTTTTATATCAGCTCTTCAGCTTGATAATGCAAGTGCATTATATTTGTAAAAATCACTGTTATTGCATTGAACAGGATTCTGATGATGGTGAGTTCAGTACTACTTCTTTGAAAATAACATATCAAAGAAAGTCCGACTGCTTCAAAGTGACAACCTGGAAGAGGATTCTGTGAAGAAGTTGGGGTTTTTTGTGACGGAGAAATGAATTGCATACAGTCAAGATTGGTTGTAATAACAGCACACACACAACTTACATCATGGTGTACTCCTCTCTTCTATAACTGCCTGTCCTTCCTTCCTCAAATGAAGTGTAACTTCTAATGTGAAAACATGCCAAATTCCCACTACATATCCTTAAAGAATAACCAGCTCTTTTGGACT